ACTTATCATCATATTCAATGTCAGTTATTTGATGATGATATTGTTTACGATTATTAAAATGAGCAATTATTTTATTGTGACAATAAATAATTGCTCATTTGATTTGAATTCTCTTGTTTTTTTATAGAATCATTAAAGCACTATTATTATTCATTGATAAAATGTAACAAGTTCCAATATTTGAATTAAAAGAATCCAAAAGTTATAATAAATATGTTTGTTATTCAAACTACAGTACTTCAAGAAGTTTCATATGTTTACACTTGCTCATATTGTCATGTTTTAAAATGTCTCAAATGGAGACATTTTAAAACATGTTTATTATTACCAATTCCTTTGTCATATTGTGTTTAATAGAAATGCCGAAAGATAATTTGAAGATTTTATTTTTAGGAACAAAAAAGTCCTGTGGAGAGAAATAAAGCTTATAAATGAATATAATTTGTGCAATTCTATGTAAAAATTTCCAGAAATTTCATAAGAATCTTAATGCATAATGCCATTTTGAGATAATTATCACAATCCAGCCCTGTTTTCAAAAAGTTGTATGATGAATAATAAATTCCTTTAAATTAACCAAACAAATAAAAACTTCAATACAGAATTTCTTATTCATTGTTTGACTTACAAGTTAGTAGAAATGTGAGGACAATTCAAATTAGCTTCAGAAATTTTATCACTTGTTTTGTACTTGAATTATCTCAATCACATTAGGCTCATTTCTCAACAACTTGTCCCATGTTTTTGGGAGGGAACAAATTCTTTCAGTGTAAAAAGTTTTGGGATACCTGTAGCCACTAGAGATGACTTTCACCTCTCCATAGATATGGCAATAGGTCAGGAATACAGGGAGAGTATATCAGCATGTCCCAAGTTTTTGATCATTTTTATCACCAAGTGGGACTAAGCATGGTGAGGAATGACTTTATTCAATTTTCTGGATCTTGAAAATTGCTGGCTTCACTGTTTCCAAAAATGTCATACTAGTAGTCCACATTCATGGTACAGTACATCCTTCTCTAAAGTCAGCACTGATCTTTCTTTGCTCATCCCATGAAAATGTTTCTGTAACTTTCCCAGCAGATCTAAATATTAAACTTCTTGGAAAGAGGTGAATCTTTGTGTCTACATTATGTGTTGGTTTGCATTGCTTCTGATATGCAAAAACAAGCCCATGATTTATTGCAAGTTACTATCTGACATACAAAGCTCTCTTTGTATTGCTTAAAATGCTGGGAACAGATCTATCCTGTGTTATGATGTCAGCAGCTGCAGTCCTTACCTTGAGCTGACTTTTCTGTACATGAATTATGGTCTCAACTCTTCCAAAATTGATGCTTGTTTCTTCAGCAAGAAAGCACATTGAGATCTGGCAATTTATAAAAATTATGTCTTGAACCATCTAAATTCTATTGGTGATTATTGTTGCCATTGCCACTAGAAAAGGCATCGTTGTGCGATACTCTCATCTTTCATTGACAACTGTGCACACAGTCAAAAATGAATATCAGCTGGCTTGGAACCTTCTCTCACTGAAAACTTAAAACACCTCTGTCCACTTTTAAACTGAGATCACTGGATGCCATCTTGCAAAGCACAACTGCAGTGTTTAAATAGTGTCATCAGTACATGCCATTGGGATGTTGCCATATGCTTGTTACAAAATTACAGGAATCTCTCATTATTTGCCAGATATGATAAAAATTCCAGTTCAAATTTGAACCATGTCATATTTCTTGTGGTTTTCTTACTATTAAACATTACATCATTTTAGATTTTAAATTCTAGAATAAAAAATGTTTTCATTGTGAAAAGTCTGTACATTGTCATTCCATATTTTTCTTTGTTTTTATTTATATTATCAATTTTATGTTTCATTTGCATTTTTATCCAATTCACAACAAATTTTAACATTTACTTCTCCATTCCATAATTGCTATGATGACAATGTATGCATTACAAAACCTCTAATTACTGGTCATGTCATAAATCTTGCCAAGAGCTGCACAACAAGGTTCTGGAATATTAAAGTTTGTATACAATGACCTGAAAGACCTCTTGTTAACTTTATAACTTATACCATAACATAAACTTCCTACTGCACATCACAACAGCCCAGTCAAGATTAATGGAACATTGTTATGTATCATTTGCAAGTACTTGTACATAATGTGTTGAGAATAACAATTGGATTAGCCATTTATCATGGACTTGTTAAATTTTGTTATTTTGTGCTTTTATATGTTTAACATGGAAATTGCCTTCAAACTTAATTAGCAAATCCTATAAAGACTTTTTAATTATTAATGAAAATGAAAAATATGTTTGAATCATTGATTCTTTGGAAATAAGTCCAATTATCTTACTCATTAGTCAATTCACCACTGTGCAGCAGTTGTCCTTTATCCATCTTTGTTCTATTGTTATTATTTATTAACAATATCAGTATTATAACAATACTCTATTGTATTATTTATTAACAATATCAGTTGTTCTAACAATAGAGTAAACTCTATTGTTAGAACAACTCTGACCATTCTTACCCTACGTTCAAAATATTTCTAGTTTTCACAACTCGCTGTCCAAAATTCCATTAAATTTTATGGCAAATCTTGTAATTTAGCTCATATTTAAAATACATTTTTAGAATTAATGAATGCCTTTTTATTAGAGTTGTTTTAATGGTAATAAATCTGCTTACAGATTAAAGTAAGTTATTCATCATTACTGCAATTACTGATTTCTGTTGTAATGTAAAAATTACTTAATTTTAATGAATTAGAGTTTTTCATTTTGGCTTTCTTTGTGATACCAAGAAAATATTTGTTCTATTATTAATTAATGCAATATAAAAGTCAAAGATAAAAGATTTGTAAAATGTTCCATAGACATTCATCTTTCCAGCAATACATGAATATATATATATATATTCATCTATTGCTATTATTCATCATATATTATATACATATATATATATGATGTATATATTCATGTATCATGATGAATATTCATATATACATGAATATATATATATATATATTCATGTATTGCTGGAAAGATCTATGTCTATGGAACATTTTACAAATCTTTAATCTTTGACTACTGCACCATATATATATGGTGCATTAGTCTCACTGCAATGTTTACAATAAAATAATTAATTCATTCAAAACAAACATAAGTAAATTATCCAAATATAAAAACAAAATGCAAATTAAAAATACAATTGTCTTAAATTATTTGGCAACATACAACACAGATCTTATATTCTATGGAAGAGCCAACAACATAGTCTACTAATTGATAGATCACCGTGACAATACCTTATTATGATGAATAATGATTATACAACAAATACTATGTGAATGTTTGGGATCATGAAATGCACAAGAAAGCAAGCAGCATGACTAAGACATTTTGAACATATGCAATGTACTATAGCAAAATAAAGCTAACTATTTTTATATTAATTTATGCAATGTTAATATTTATTCTTTACAGTCAGAGATTCTTTGCACATTATGCTAAATCTTAAAATGATTCCCATCTTCTATCTTTGAAAATGAAAGAGATGGGAAAAATTTTTGTATTGCTATGGAACTATAATCCGATTTAAAGATATATTGGCTACCAATCGTGAATGATGACAGTAATATCGTTGGCATAGACGCAGATCAATGTGTGGTCATTTTCGAGATTAAATATCTCATTCATGAAGAGAGGGAATAAGAATGGTGAGACTACACTGTTCTGTGGAATGCATTTGCATTGGGTTAGTTCTGTGGAGGTATGACCTCTCCATTTGACGATTACTTGTGTGTTATGTAAGAAATTGTTTAGCCATATGAGAGAATTGCTTTTGAGGCCCTTTGCAATGGCTTTATGGAAGATGTGGCAGTGTTTGATGAAGTTGTACACTTTGTGTATGTCTAGGATGAGAATGTTCAGGTATTGACTCCTATTATGGAGGGTGTGAATCTGGATCATCATGTGGGTAAAGGAGGTCTCTTGTCCTCTTGCCCCTGAAGTGTTTATAGTTAAACCATTGTTGATGTTGGGCTAAGTTGTGCCATTTTATAATCATGCCTTCGAAGATTTTGAATATTGTTGAAGTCAAGACTATTGGACGATAATTGGCGACATTCATGGCCTCTCTTCACCCAGTTTGCATATGGGAATTATGATTGTTTTGTTCTTTTATTAAGGATGGTACCTGTTGTCTAGATGTTGCTGTAGATGGTTAGTAGGTGGCATTTGGCCTAGTTGCTGAAGTCTGAAAATCTTCACGGTAATGCCATCTATACTGGGAGTTATATTCCTCCTTTTCTATGCACAATTTAGCTCATGCTTGGTGTATGGACTGTTGTATGCATCTAACAGGTAATCTGTGTTGGTGGAGGTGTGAATGTGTATGGGTTGTACCTGTGTTTGGGGGTTGAAGTGGTGATTTAAAATATCGGCTTGATGGTTTCAGTTGGTGATAGTCTGCCTGTCTTGTTTGATGGTAAGATGATCATTTTGGGGATTATCTTGTGTGCAGGAAGTGTATGATTTTCCATAGATTGTTCTTGTAGTTAGGGGAGATAGTAAGTTGCTTCCAAAAGGCATGCTTTTGTTCAAGTATGATGAATTATATCACTGTCTGTCATCTCAAGTATTACTTCTTTGGCACTTATCCAGTTTTCACGGTTTGTATATCTGTGGAAGCGATGATAGGCTTGCCTTTTATTTTTTTTTGCAAATTTCTGTCGGCACTTTTTATTCCACCATGGACGATTAGGTCTTTGTTGGCCTGGGTTGCAGCTGTTATGGGCAAATGCGAGTTCTTTGTATTTGCTGATGAAGTCATTGTAAGTCCAGTCCCTATGAGATGCCCAGGAGATTATTTATATTATGTTGGTGTCAGTGCTTGTGTGTACATGGTTATTCACTTTCTGTTTGTCCATTCTAATGTTGGTAATGTTGGTTTCAATCATGTGATGGTGGCTGCCATAGAAAATGGGAGGGAGGATCCAGGTAGTGTGTGTTGCTTTGTCGTTAGTTAAAAGGGTTATTTCAATGACTGTATTACTGCCATTTGGGTTGTAGTATGTGTATTTGCCATCTCTGAGGAGAATTATGTCATTTGTCATGAGTCTGTTGGCTATAATGTGACCTCTGACATCCGTCGTGGAGTTCCCCCACATGATTCAGTTAAAGTCACTGCTGATTATGGTGGTAGTATGTCGTTACTGCTAAGAATACGCTCTATGAGATGGTTGCTAGCTTGTGGAGAGGAGTAGATGATGAGTTTGATATGCTTTGGCAGGTAGATGTCTGTGACAATCCATTCAGGCAGGTTTGCCTTATTGGCCGTCTTTCTTTCTATGAGGGATGCTGGAATGTGGCACTTGATAGCCTATATATCATAAGGATACCACCTGGGCAGTCTGTTCTGTAGTTGTATTAAGCAACAAAAGCAACAAACTATGGTATGTCACATGTTTTTGAGTGAGTAAACCAACTTTCTTGTACCAGAATAATATCATACTGCTTTTACTTTTACTTTTAGCAGATAGGGAATAAAACCAGGGCTACTCAAAGGTATTACCTGGGGTAAAAATGGAAAAGAAATATCATACTGCTGCCATATGTTTTCTGCTTTAATTTGATGGATTTTGTTAGTGATGCTATTTTTTTTTTAAAACTCTTTCTGCCCTGCTAAAAGAGAGCCTCTTTTAGCAAGCCCATTATGAATTTGGCTAGGCTCACAATGGGGTGATCTGGTGGTGAGGGATGGGACCAACATATTCAGACAGATTACTCTTCAAAAATTCCTAGGGATTTTTTGACCCATTTGGATTTGATCCCAGGTCCCCCAAGAGTGGTAGGCTGCACTTTGACCGCTCGGTCATCCGGCCTTAGTGATGCTATTGATGTTCCATTGGAGAATTTTCATGGTTGTGCTTTGCGAATAGGAAGTTCAACTTGTGTTGGATAATTAGTAGGTTTTGTCTTGGAATTGAGTCATTTTGTTGTTTTCCACCTCTTGTTGTTTCTTGTGTTTGCACCTTTTGGTAAGTGTTTTGTGTTCTGCTGTTGCTATTATTGCAATATCTGCTAAGGGATTTGTTTTTGGGGTTTGTTTGTTGTTGTTATTGGGTATGTAGCTTGAGTGTTTTGTTGGTATTCGTTAGGGTTGTTTTTGATGTGTTCATTTCATCCATTTGTTCATTTCCCATAGTTTGGGTAGGTGAGCAATTAAAGTGTTGTTTGTCTTGAGAGTTGGGTCCTTTTTGGAGTGTTTATAGGTGGATTATCATGTGTTGTATTATTTCGTTTTGTGCCATTATGACTTGTTTGATTTCGGTTAATTGTTTGAGCATTGCATCTTCATTTTGTGTCACATGAGAGTATTTTGTGTGGGTGAGTTGGGTCTCATGTAGTGGTTGTGCATTTTTAAGTTTTGCGCTCCAAGGTTGTCGATTTGTTGGTGTTAGCTGGAGGGCTTTACTTGCTTCTAGATTTGAGCAATTGTGCCAATGTTGGTATTGTATTTTGGGCTTTTATGTATTTCAGACATTTGGAGGATTTATATGGATGTACCCAGAGCAATTAATGCATATCTGCTTTACTGTTTGGCATTCGTTTTTGTTGACTGGTTGGAAGCATTATTTTCTTCAGTGCAATACGACACGGAAAAAAAAAAAATGTGGAGTCTGTCAGGAATGGAACTTGCAACCATGGTTATTTTGACGGTCTTGTTTGCGTTTGAATCTTGTTACATTGAGTGGGAGGAATCTGTCTTCTTTTAACTGGGTATAAATTTCTTTTGCTTCATAGCCTGTGGGTACTTTTTTGATGATTAGACTCTTAGTGTAAGATCCTTGGTTAATATGTTTTTGACAGAGTTGCTGTTTATGTGTGTCATGGTTAGGATTTTGGTAAGGCAAGGTTGTTTGATAGTTATGTAAATTGGTCTGGCCCTGGTGATGTTTAAGTTTAGGATGTTGTTGTTTAAAGTGGTTTTAGAGTGTTTGTAGATTTTAGGACTTGTAAGGTTAGTTTTGAATTGGTGCATGAGGTTTATTGGTAGTTTTCTGCCAGTCAATACGTACAACAAGTAAGATTCAAGCTCCAAATGAGGGGTTTCACACCATCCAGAATTGTTAACCCTTTGTGAGATATTCACCTCCAAAGGCCAGTTTTTAACACATATCAGTATACTGCCTATTCTACATGCTTGCATGTAGACGTGCACTTCAGCGCTTGGGTGAGGGCGAGCCTCCACACCCCCTAAAACTATATAATATCAAGTAATCTATAAACAGTCAAGTGCATTACTCAAAGCTGGCAAGTGAAGCAGGCTAAATAGTGATATGAATGATGGTATCACATATTGGATTAGTTACAACTGGCATTCTGTTAACAAAAAAAACTTGTTTATTTTGCAGGTAGGATTAATCAATTGAATGGAGTGGTCCTGTATCCATTTAAAGTGCTTGTCAGTATCTGGTAGTCATTCCATATCCAATAGTCTTCCAGAAAGATGGTTTTGGTTAGATTTTAGATATGTATACAATACTGTCATGGCAGTGGTCCTGACTGATTCCTCCGAGAGGGGAGCCACCAGCAGGCTGCCTTGTACCAAACGTCACTAGTTATTGATTCACAGTAGTTATTGAACACACATATCAATGACTAATATGAAGTGCCGCCATGACAGTATACGTATGTAAAATTTAACCACGGTTTCATTGCCAGCAACCATTGAGCTCATTTCCGTGACTTCTGGTGATAGTTGGTAGGTGGATGGGTACAGCCCATTTTCCCCATGCAGTGTCGTTATGGTGTTTGCGTTCACGCTTTTAGTCTGGGTTTTATGACGTGTAAAGAAAGTCTTGTAACGTTATACCTACTTTGAGTTGAACAATTTGTCACGCCTAATCAGCTCTTCGCAATAGTCAGCTTCTGTACTCCAAAACTCTACATTCATATCTGGGACTACGTGTGCCCTCTTTTAACGAAAATAGAAACTAAAGACCTTACCAATTAATTTATTTAGGTGTTGATAAATTCTATTATAATTTTATGTGTTTGCATTAAAAAAAATTAAAATACTTATACAATTATTTCTAAAGCCTTTTTTTTATTAAACACAAAAAACATGCTACAATATAAATTTAATATTTGTAAAATATAGAAAAAATATTACTTAAAGTTGGTGTATAAAAATTATTAAAGTTTATAAATGTGTATTTCTCAATTTTTAAATTAAGTTGAATTACTTAAATATCGGTAATATACCATTTTCTGGCAGTAGATGGCGTTTGATCGTATTTAGTCCGTTTTCTTCTATCCATGCTTTATTAATAAAAGATAATAGCTGTTTTTCCAGAACAGCAAAAAAAATTACTAGCTATAAGACTTTATGAATTATTTTTACAATTATTTCCTACTATTTTATTTTGTGGAATAAATGTCAGAACGAAAAATTATTTTAAAAAAATGGCAAAAACTTCATATTTTGTTTAAATATTATTATTATGCAGTCAATGGCATGCTCCATTGATACAGATGTCAATTCAGAACAAAATAGCAATATATATATATTAATAATAACATTTAAACAAATTACACAAGATAAAAATATTTATTTTAAAATGAAGTATTTCCAAAGGTATAGTAATTAAATAGGACAGATGTAATCTGTTATCTATAGATAATGTTTATTACTTTTACATTAGTGCCATCAGCAGATCACAATATAAACTATCCTTTACATACACAAATAATGAATCTAATTTCTATATATATAAATGAGTATGTTCTTATGTTCGCTATACACTCCTAGTCGTTCGACCAATTGCTAAGGAACTCGGAAGTTACGTTTACATACTTTAAATAATGTCGTTCATCCCACCTCAAAATATCTATTAGATTCGTGCAAATTCAATTAATTTTAATCTGCATTCAATTTGCTGATTTACACGTAGCACCATCTATTGGCAATATATTTAACAAAATAATAAACTAAACATAATTCTTATAAAAAAAGGATATACAATAATTTTAAAATATATACATTAAATTCACTTGATTACTGTGAAAGGTAACATATAACACTTATCTGCGTGGAATAGTGTTACCATGTGAAAACTTGCCCATGTACAGTACATCATCTTGTCAAATTTTATATTTGAAAACATTTAAATAGTTATAATGTTGATTACTATCATTGATAAAATATAACTAAAGTATAACGCTAAAATTTTAGTGCTTTAATGACTATAAAAAAACAAGAGAATTCAAATCAAATAAGCAATTATTTATTGTGACAATGCCAGGCTGCAATTTTGAATCATATTTTAAAATAACTGAATTTAAAATATGATTAAAAATTGCAGCCCGGAATTGTGACAATGTCGCAATAAAATAATTGCTCATTTTAATAATCGTAAACAATATCATCATCAAATAACTGACATTGAATATGATGATAAGTTTGTAATATTTGCATATTGACATTATGAAAGTCCATAATTTTGTCAAAAATTATATTGTATTTATAATTGAATTCCATTTGACTCATGAAACGATGTAAAAATTTAAACATTTGATGCCATTTCATATATAAAATCTTATAACAACAGCAAAAAGAAATGTTATGATTTTGAAAAATGAAAATCAATTTATTAAATATCTGTACATCATCAACTCAATAGATTATAATTTTGTAATATATGATTTACATTCTGATAAATGCATAGCAGCAGTAAATAAGAATTTACAGTAAATGAATCCTGATGAGATCTATTTAATACAAAAGTGATCAGAAATAAGTACAAAATATTTATTTAAAAAATTTTCAAAACTTTTGGGGATTACAGATTTGTAAATTTCCTTGTTTTTGCTTGTCTTTCTTTCCTCAGCTTCATGCTGTGTCTACCCGTGACACTACTACGATGAGAAGGTGTTGCAGAAACTGATGACGACACTGGTGTAGCCAAACTAATGACACTAGTTGATGCTGGTGTAATTGATAATTTTGATATTCTAAAAATTAAAATATTAAGAATTCTTTTTAGCATAGTTTTATTATTATAAATTATATCATTCTTAAACGTTATAAGAAACGTGCCTTTTCTTTTTTCCAGTATTTTTCTTAATATGACTGGCACTTTCTTTAACACTAGCAACTTCTTTTTCCCTGATAGGTGTCATGAAAATATCTGTCGGTTCTTCTTTTACAGATTTCTTCTGTCTTGATTGTGGCTCGGCTGTCAGGATAGAAGTGTTAGAAAGAAAACTATCATCAGTCTTTTTTTGTCTTGACCTGGACCTTGTAACTGGTGGAGAAAATACAAATGAAGGAACAGAAGTCTGAGGTGTAGATAACTGGGGTAAAACTATAATCCAAAAAATAAACAAAGTAAGTATTTTTCTGAAATATATAGCAACTTCACTAAAGTAAATTTTAAAAAGTGTTAATATTTATAACAATTCATTATTACATCAAACACACAAAATCTTAAGCAAAAGAACTAACCTTTGGGTTCTTCTGCTATATTAGGATCACTAAATGTAAAATGTGTCTCATCTAATTCTGTAACAGAGGTCAAATTGAAAGGAACATTATGCATTTTAAAATTTAGTTTGGATCAGGAATTTATTTAATTGTAAGTATTAAATATACTAGAGCAGAGTATCAGATATACTATTAAATTATAAGAATGAAGAGTTTTTCTCTTTTAGAAAAGCAAACAAATTCAGATTACTTCACAGGAGTAACTAATTTCATCAAATCAAAATGTTTCCAGATTACTGGACCTACATTTGAGGCAAATTCCTTTGTTCTGGTATAGAAGGATGCTACGTAAATACAAATTTCATAAATTTTCTAGCATTAAATAACAACAACAAAAAAGATACAGATTAATATAAAATGGAATTCAAAGTTATTGAAATAGAAAGAAGGAAACGATTACTATCTAAAAATATTTCTTTAACAACTTCATGTGTCATCAAGAATACAGTAAAACAAGCTTTGCTGTAAAACATATTCAAACATTCCAAATGCCTTAAATCTCTATAAATATTTTTTCTGATCTTTTAGACCAACATAATTTTTATAATTAAGTTGCCCATGATATTGCAATTTTGTTTCAATGCCAAAAGAACTAAAATAGTGTCCAGCTATTTCAATTAAACCAATCAAAGTCAACAACAAGCACTTATATGCTACTACAAGCTAGAATAAATAAGGAAAGTTCAATTAGGTTTTTTTCCTTACAGGGCATACATATGTTATTGTTTACTAAGTTCTATAGACCATCATTGTCAATATAATAATTAATATTCAATAATTTGTTTTAAATCTATTTAATTTCTATTAAAAAACAAAATTAATATCATAAAACACCATATATTACATCTTAATAGCATCTTTTGGCTAATTTATTTTATTTCTCAGTTTTCTTTTGATGATTTACTTTTCATACAAAATATGAAACAGAGGCAAAGGAATTAACCATTATTTTATTTATTTCATTGTCTATGTTGGACTTATTATACTGATGTTGTTTAAAAGTCCTATTAATACACTAAGTCCAACCTAGACAATATATAATAAAAAAATAATGGTTAAACACATCTCTTCAATTTCTACAAATCAAAATGACACTACAATCATAGGAAATTATATAAACCACACACTGCTCTAGTAACCAATTGATATTAAACGATGCAGTCCATGCTTTTGAAACAAGTTATTATATAATCTTATATTTTCTAATAGAAAATGTTAATTTATTAGTTTATTAAGAAAATTTATTTAAAACACCTTTGGTTTCACTGCTTTCATCTCCAGATTTTTTTGACTTTCTTGGAGTCTTTACAGTTTGTTTTGTACTTTCTGGTAACTCTGAAAAATATTTCATATTTCAAAACATTTTTTTTTTTAATCTTATTAAAATGTAACAAATATTTCTTTAGAAATAAAAATCTAGTTGTTTGTACCTTTCGTTTTACTTCTTGTTGTCATCTTAAACAGTGTAGATGATTTCAGTTGAGACGGTGGTGTCTCTTTTAAATGAGATGAACTGGGGCTTTTAGATTTAGATCTTGATCGTGATCTTGTTCCTTCAAAAGGGCTACTCTGTAGTTCATATAAAAACATTAAATGTGTTTGATTTTAAATAATCTATATCCAATTATTATATCGACATTGATTATTTTCTACTATGAAAAACAAAAATATTATTTATTATGAATGCTTTAACAGGTTCCTGGTGGGGGCATCCATCTTTTGCACTCCTGCAACTGCAGACCTTTCATTAAATGTAAAATCTTGTTTAATAAGGATAGCAATATTGCTCATTTGCACTTGGGTAGCCAACAACCCAGGATTGGTCTGTGCTTTAATAAGATGTGATGATCAAGTTTAAACAGAAAATATATTTAATTATTGGAAAAATTGCATTTGGAAGCAATTATTTAAAATTTTCACGATAATCTTTTTTCCATCTATCAAGCCAATAATGTTAATTCAGTTTTTTCCATGTACAAGTAATAACATAATTTGGGGCTCTGGAATTACTTAGAATTCTATCAAATATGTGGATAGAAATGATTCCAGGAGATAAAAATAAAAGCATGCTATCTAGCCATACAATTTTTTTAATCATGTCAAAGCTCTTAGTTTCAGAATCAGTATAGTATAATAGTATCAGTGAGTTTAATATACAGTAACAGCCATAAAAACTACTTAATCTACGATACAAAAGTGTGCAACAGATATGCAAAGTATTGTATCTTTCATTACAGATCAAATTTATACTTTAAAATATGTAGTACAGAAAAGAAACCAAAATCAATGCAATTTATTACATACACATTATATAAGCGCTATTTCACACCACAGCTTCACCAATGCTGTTAATGAACACTTTTGCAAGAACTTGTAGTTTACAGTTATGGAAGAAAAAAATGTTTAGTGTAAGTAGGCCTGAAAAACATAATGTTAATAGTTATTCTCATTGACTGGGAGCCTTAATAACTGCTTTGTAGCACTCTGGCAAGATTGTACGATTTTCTTGAGTAATCTGTATGAAGCGCGTGATACCAGACTCTTCTAATAAATAGCAACTTAGAGTGTTTCTTTAGGCCTCTTGTCTGCAATTTTTATAATGCTTATTTCAGCAATTCTCAATAGAGTTGAGACCATAACTTGTTAATGCTGATTTCCATTTTACCAGAAAACAGAAAAATGATTAGATTCCATTGCCCATCATTTTCTGTTTAGTTCTATTTCTGCAATATCAGAATATCACAAGCAGAATTAAGTTGACTGTAGTCTCCAATTAAAACTGACATCTTTATATTGTTTATTTATTTTATTGAGATCAGGAAGTATTCGTTCCTCTATTCCTAAAAACAATTCTAATTCTTTGCTTCACCTTGCTCTTTTCAAATAGTTTGTTATGACATAGTAGTAATGACAATTACGTTTTTCTCTTAGTCAAAACATGACAGTAGATGTAACGGATATGAAAAAGTTGCATTATTTTCTATTCTAGGTTTCTGACTGAATTTTGATGAATGGAAACTTCTGGACAGGAAGTGAAATCACTTTCCCATTCCTGTTTTCTGTTGCTGGTGCATTTTCCACTGATATAGAAATCAGTCTTTACTAGGTCAGCTTTGGTATCTGATCTGATCCAGATGACAATGATAAAAATAAAACTGTAGGGAACATATTATATTTTATTCACTATCTTGGTGCAGTGACATGGCATCCTGGAAGATGCAGAATTTCATGTTACAAAGTTACTCCCTGTTTGTTAGAATTAGCTTAGTAGATAAGATGTTTTTACAGAACCCTGCACTATTTATAAACTGTAGTTTGCTGATATGCATCCGCACACCATTTGATTCACAGGAAACTTTAACAAGAATTGCTTGTTGCAGGTAGATTTGCTTCAGATCTACACCAGATTAAATCTGCATTCATTCAAAAACATAACAGAATCCCACATGTCAACAGTGCCATCTACATGCTGTTTAGCCCAGATAAGCCACTATCTGCACATTTTACTAATCAGTAATGGCTACTTAAGTGGATGGTTGACTTTTAAACCCATGTTGCAGAATTCATGCACTCATTTTTATGTCTGTCTGCTCTTCCATTTTACTTTCAGTTTAGAAAAACTAGCAAAAGCATTGAAGCCTGTAAGAATGTATTTTGCATCCTATCATGGCAGAGATTACTCATTCATTTATCTTCTGATCCAGCTCTGTGCTATTTCTTGAGAGGATAATCTTTAGCATTAAAATCAACAATTACACTCTTTTTATGTAGTGTTAACTGTCAAAACACTTCTATTTTGCTTACAAAAGCACCATTTATATCAATAAATGACGCAATCACCAGAAATCCCAAATATGATCTTATCCAGCAGATCTTAAAAAGCATTCTCATGTTCATGATACGGATGATACAACTGTTGTGGTTTCTTGCAGGTACTCAGTAAACTGATATAGTTTAATTTTACAGGATTTTAAGGGCCATGCACTACCTGTTAATCCCTCCTCCTTGTCTGTAGATTTCAAATGCAATACAACCTTAATAATCTGACACACATGACACCATATCTGTGTTGGATTAAAGAGAGTGCCGATGAACTGAACCATTTAATCCAGTGGTTCTCATGTCGCATACCTATAAAACCCATACAACATCGGTTGAGAAACATGGTTTTAATCATTTGAAAAGAAAACATTTGTTACTTGCATATTAGTATAATGTTTTTTGATTCTTAAACACTATGTAGTGTAATAAATTCAAACACTTGGCGTTCTATCATCTTTATTTAGTTCAGTTGATCAACTGAACTAAATAAAGATGATAGAACTCCAAGTGTTTGAATTTATTACACTTCTTTGATTCTTAAACACTATGTAGAGTCACAACACAGTTTCAGATTATTATCAAAAAAATTAGTATACTGTATTAATAAAAAACATATACTGGTACAATAGGAAGAATATATGGAAGCAGAGCAATCATATATTACTATACTTTAAGAGTTCTCAAATTAATCATCAGTCCTTTTAAAATAATTTTCAATTGTCTTCTGTCATTGCTAATTGTTGAATTTTCATTAAACTTAGTAGGAAATTCAAATGACAATGGAATTTATTTACCTTTCTAATTGCTGCTCAAATTCAAAGAAAAACAATTATCTTATCCTATTTATGCAAAAATATTAGCTTTTAATATATATAATTAAGTTAAAATGTATATATGAAGTCTCCAATCTATGACCTAAAGCATATTTACCTGGCCAGTGTACTTTGTTTTCACTGACATGTTTTATCAACATTTGAACTAGTTCAGAGCATATAAACTTTTAAAAAGTCAATTAATAGATCTTGCAGCACACTATTTTCATTAAAAAAAAAAAAACCTATTTAATAAAGGAACTTTGTTAAATTTTTACAAATCTCTGCCAAAGAAAATTTTGAAAGTTTGTATGGAGGATATTATCTATTTTTGCTTCTATGTACCTTTGTGAACAAATCTTTTTGAAAATGAAATACATAAAATCAAATATCTAAAGAAGATTTTAATATTGGATGCTGCATTCTTTTGAAAAGCACTTGAAAATGTCACATTGAATTATGTCCATTATTATTCAGAAATAAAAAAATTTTGATCTTCTTTTTCCTATTATGTCTTTTATAGCTCACATGATGCTTCTCAGAAAAAGGGTGTAGATGTCCGACGTATATAATGGGATTATGGAGTCTGTTACTTCTATGTAAATAAAAATTATTGTTTCATGAATTCATTGCAATCATGTAGAGTAAGAAAAATCATTGCTCATTGATAGAATTTTTAAATTAAACAGATCGCAATATGAATTACATCAGATTTTTACAAAATATACTTTAATTTTTTAAGATTGAAATCTGCTGAAATTTTTACAGATTTCAATATAATAATAATAAATTCTATTTGAAAATGTATATTATTATTTTAATTGGATAACTCTTCACTAGAAAAATAAAATGTACATTAGAATTTCAATCTGCAAATCAATGAAAGCCCAAGAATTAATACTGATGTTTATGTAATAAAATAAATGATGCATATAATTTATAATTATTAATCACTTACAGTTAATGACTTTTCTCCTGGAACTTGTAAAGAATGTTTTTCTGGAGTACTTTCTGGAGTTAAATGCAAATTAATTGAACTTTTCATTGGAGAAATATGGGATAAAGACAAGTCTTCATTTTTTGAATATAAATCTAAAAGTCAAGTATAATTTTAGTAATCAAAATTAAAGACTATTATAATAATGTGAATTAATTACTTATAGATTCGGATTCCATTTCTTTATCTCGAGACTTTTCTATACCAAAATCTTCCGACTCTATTCTTAGTCTTTCTTCTGTTAATTCATCTTTTAAACACTCTTCGTATTCACTTTCTGAATCTGACAAAACAAGCGAAGGTTCTGTTTCACTTTCTTTCTTATCAAATAATTTTTGTTTCACTTCTTTTTTCAAATCATCTCCGTAATACTCAATCTGTGGCATTTGTTCTGTTTTGTCTGAAGATTCGGAAGTGGCTCGAGACTCTTCTCTCATTTCAATTTCAGGAACTGGGAAATCTGAAAGTTTAAAAATAAGAATAAGAATACAAATCATCTTAAATTTTTTTAAATAAGATATAACAAATATTACTCTTTTCTTTAAGCACAGGAGCATCTTTATCAGGAACATTTTCCTCTTCTCCTAGTTCCATTTTTTCTAAAAATATAACCATTAATCATTATTTGGATTAGTATAAAACAATCTATTTTATTAATATCTAAAAAAATGGCAACAGCTAATTTAAAAATAAAACTTACCACTTACTATACTTGGAGATAGATAAACATCTTGTCCAACAGTCTGTGTAGTCACATTATCGTGAAGTGAAGGTCGTGCACTACATTCTACACTTCTACATTTGGTAATATTATAACTAATTGATTAAATTTATTGTATCAAATTATCAATCATAATAGAAAATTTTTATTATAAGATGAATATTTTAAATTTTGCTTTGTACAATATTCAGATTTTCACAAAAGAGAAAAACTTACTTTTCTTTCAATAAGTTCTTCTCATAAAAGCTTTTTAAAATACTTTTATTTGGTGTTAACCTAGAAAATAAATTTATTTGCTTATTTATTTGGAAAAATAATCAATCCATTTAATTAATTTATAAATGTTTTTACAACACAATTTTTAAAAGTCAAATTTTATAAAATCTGAAAGTTTTTGAACATTTCAATAATAAGTACAGCAGTTAAAGAAACAAAACTCATTTTAAAGTCTTGTTCAAAAATTGTATTGTGTAATATATGCTATAATTATTCAGTTTTTTTAAATACTTTTAAGAATATTTAAGAAAATTTAAAATGGTAATTTATTATATCATTTTATTACAATTTTTAGAAATAAATTCTGTTCTTCTAACTATAATCTCTCACAAATATTAAAAGAAATCTCTGAAAATAAAGACTCTGACTAGCATTACTATATAAATTATTAATTTTCATTTATTAGGTTATATTCTATCCTACCATTAAAACTGAAATAATAATTATTTTATTACCATTTTCCAGTAATGCCACCGAGAGGTGAACGAACTTCAGGAACTTTAAACCTTAATTGTTTGACGTTTGAATCTAGAAAATAAAAGATAAAAAATGTATATGTATTCGATCAGTAAATGTTTTGTTAAAAAATTAAAATATTAAAATATTAAAATTTAATTAAAATATAAAACATTTAATGTTTGAATTTTAAAAAGATTAATATCTAATATTTTTATAGAATTTTATAATTTGGCAGAAATGTGATAAAAAATTAAATTTTATATATACAAATTGAATTAAGATGATAAAAAATATAAACGCCATTATTTGTATTTAGTTTTGTTTGAACAAAAAAGAATAAATATATATTCCAATAGAAAATCGACAATTTTAAAAAATTATTTAAAATTTTAATAGGATAGGAGTCTTTATCATAATGACTAGTTCTATAAAAGGCGTTCTATAAAAATTCACACTTAAACTTTTAGAAAAAGCTCATCTATATATATAATCGAGATGAGTTGATAATAATAATAATAATCACAGATAAAACAATTTACCACAACAGACCAGACATCACATACATTATAGACATAGCCATTCCAAACACTCACAATGTACAAAACACATGCACTGAAAAAATTAGCAAGTACACAGAACTCGCCCAGGAAATCAGACATCTGTGGAGGATGGATAGGGTGCTTATTGTACCTGTCGTTCTCTCCTGTACAGGTGTGATACCACACACACTACACAAAAGCCTGGGAACATTACAATTGAGTAGAAATACATACATCACACTACAGAATGCCACTATATTGAATACATGCCATATTGTTAGGAAATTCTTTAATACTGACACTGACACACACATTTAATTTTAGTTTTGTTTTGGTTGCTATGCCTTGACTCTGGTCCGGCATAGTACACAGCCACCGGTGTGTACCGAGTATAACCCACTAAACCCAACACATAATAATAATCAGCGCAGAGCCAAATGGTTAGGAGTTGAAAGTTGAAATTTGGTACACAGTTAGGATACGTCATGAGAACACACACTAAGAAGGGATTTTTCGAAATTCCCTCAGGGAGGAGAGGGACAGGATTAAGGCTTTGACAATGGAAGTGTTAAGAGAAAGAGACGTGCAAGATTTACAGACACAGATGCAGTTTTTTCGTTTTTGTGATAAATCGGAACATTTTTTAACCCATCTAAAAATTCTCTAATTACTCTGGAAACAGGGGGACCAAATTCTTGCATTCTTTGAAAACGGGTAAGATTGACTATAATGTAATAATCTTAATCTTTGCTGTTGTTACTTTTTGCCCTATATATATAATTCTCTAACAAAGAAATATTGTCAGGTTATACATTCTGATTTGTTTTGTAATAAAATATACAAAGAAACTGAAATAATTAAAACAAAATTAAGTTTAGGCATATATATTAAATAAAAGTAAAAAAAATTTTAAGTCATAAAATCAGCCCAATAAGTGTTTTTCTACACTGTCTGATTAAAGCATTTTTAACTAGCAGGTAAGCCCAATGCTACCCAGGCAAAAAAAATAACAGCAAACATTAAGTTTGTTAGATTATTTCGTACTTCTAACCCTTTTATTATATTATGTTATAGAATTTGATTTATATAACTATGAAGACTATCTTACGTAAGGGTTTAAATTGTGTTAGATTAATCACTCAGTGTAATAAACTCTCACATAAGATAACCTCTGTAGTTATATAAATCAAATACTATAACATAACAAACATTAAAACGAAAACCATATAGTTTGGTCGTTTTAGCCTTCCATTGTCATGTTTATCACAATACTCAGATGGTACAAAATGGCACACTTTCAATAGTGTATTTTCAATTCTTGTCTACTTGACTATCTTAAATTTTTTCAGATATAATTTTTTTTATAATGTTAACTTTAAGAAACTGAACCAGTCACAGCCAAATATCAAACGGTAATTTGCCAACCAATCAAATTTCTGAAAAAAACGGACCAAATATTGAAAGTTGGCACCCTCGAAACCACTTAAATCATATTTTGTGCTGGTCGGTAATCTTGTATTATGTAATTTTCCTATTTGAATGCCACCATACCACTAGTCCGATAGAAAGAAGGAACTGTAGTGGAAAGGAGTCAAAGTTAATTTGAGTAAAAGTAGTTGTTGATCACCTCCCAAAAGAGAGGTTGATCAATATCTATTAATTAATACCAGTCTATTAGTAGTAATTCAAACACAAATAATTATCGTATTTATCTTCAGGCACTTGGCAATACTTATCATCAAGTTTTATTCAGATGATTTTATTCAGAACCAGTCTATTATTAATGTTTGAAAAGTTGTGATCTACGTTGAATAGGTTGTGATGTCCCTGCATGTGATCAAAGTTGCTAACCTTAACGTCTGACAGACTTCTGTTTTCGCAGACATTTTTCGTATAAAACTTGTTTCAATTAAAAAAAATATTGTAAAAATGCAATAATTGTAAGTATACTTAATGTTTGCTGTTATTTTTTTTTTTTTTTTGCCTACTTTATATGGTGGATAATTTTGCCATCTTCTAAAATACTTTTTTCACATGTCAACATGTGATACATTGATATATTAAATCAGTATCAACTTTTAAAGTGTGTGAAAATATGAAAATTTCTGTTAAATGAGATAACATGCTAGAAAGAAAAACATTTTATCTTGAAAGTATGATTTATTTTAAAGATTAATGCTAGCAAATAAAAAATTCAAATTTTAAATTGTCCATAAATATAAAACCAGTTACAAAAAATATGATGAAAACAAACTGTATTTTATCAATTTGCATATTGCTATGTCAGTAAGTATTACCTACAAGAGTAGATGCTATACTAAGATGTTTTTGTTTTAACATTAAATGAAATATGAATATTTGCACAGTGCTAGTTGGTCACAATGCCAAATAGCTGCAAAACTTAATGTTCAAAGACAACAGTTTAACAGGCTGTTTCTAAACATATAGGACCAAAAAAAAAACTTGTCAACAAGAGATTAGTTAGGAAGAGACATCCATCTGATATCAAGTGAAATAGCTATGCACCTTACAAGAAATCCACCACTGCAAACTTTTTCATGTGCTCCATGACCCTAAGACTATTAAGTATATGAAGAAAAATATTTTAATTTAGATGGCATACACTTTATTGGTATGATATCAGATCGTAACATAAAATCCAGATGAATCGTCAAAATCTTCGTGGTTCTTTTATGGTTTGAAAAGCAGAAAAAGATTTAATCACTGTACTAAGAAAAACCATATCAACATGTATCAGCATCAAACATGCACTTAGCAGCCTTTTCCTGCCCTCTTGGTACAGAAAATTTTCTGTTTTAACAAGATAATTCTGCATGACACACCTCCAAGGCAACAACAAAATGAACAAGAAACAGGAGTGATTAATTTGACCAGAATGTTGTAGTCCTCACGTGTCCCAATTACTGGTAATTGAAATCTACTGTTTAAATTATAACTTATATTTCAATTACAGTTGTTGTTATTCAACTTACCTTCTTGTTCAGTGATATCAATACTTTCACTTGGATTTGTGCTATCATCATCTTTGTAATCAGATTTCTCAAAGACATCTTTGAAACATTAAAAAGAATTATTAAATCTGTGTTTTATAAACATTTTAATTATTTTGTTAGGGTCTTACCATTTAAGTTACCTTGTGATAATCTTGTAGATTCCAAATACATATTTTCAACTTTAGAACCTTCACTTCTGACTTTTAAAATTGAATGAGGAGTTACATTCATTAAACTGTTTCTTTGGTCTAATATTTTTGAGCGTCCCACTGGAGTTTTTTTTCTTATTGGCGGTGTTTGAAGTAAAGATGAAACTTCTCCACTTAAAATTCTATAATTTCTTCTGTAACAACAACCAAACAAAAAAAAGTATAAATTTGCATAAATAATAATGAGAAATGCTTCAAACTCACTCACTTTTTATCACTTTCAGAGTGACGAAACGAATCATAAAGTCTAGACTTTGGCGATACAGAATATTCTTTTTCATTATTAAGGTGTCGAATGATAGGTGTTGCATAGACCACGTGTTTCATTTCACTGTAAGAGTAAGTTTTAAAATACAACTTAATTGTAATTAACACATTAGAATGAGAGAGGGTGTTATATTAAATTCATTTTAAATAATTACGCACTTTGTTGATTTTTCATTGCGAGAGAGAGGTGTTCCAATAAACGGAATTGAATCGGTTTTCCAAAATTTATTTCCTTTTGAACTAAAAGTAACATAAAATAAATATTTAATACACTTTTTTTCTTTGAAGTGTAAATGAAAACTTATGACATCTTGCCTCTTATTAAAAGAATTTTCAGATTCCATTGATGTTTCTTGTATTTCCTTTACTTTATTGATGACTGCCAAATGAAGATCTGAACGAGAAACTGCTTCAAGTGTTTTTACTTTTATAGTAGATGACAATGGCTGTGGTTTTGGTATAGCTACAGGAAAAAATTAAATAAAGTTTATTAGTAATTTTAAATTACTAATAATCACATTTAAACCTATTCTTTTCATTACTATGATTTGTGATCTGTACTGTGCTTCTATTCTGTAACCTTAATATTGATATATTACAGATCAAAATACAGCTCTCCCTTGATAGTCTGACGTTTTTTAATCCGACATGCTCAGTAGTCCGACACACCTCCCGTCAAGGTACCCGTCCCCGTTACGTGTCTGCTTGCACAGAAGCATGTCGCTACATGAATCTCCCCATCCTATTCTTACACGATGACACACATTTCGTGTGTTTTCTGTGAGCAGTTCTGTTCGAACAGTTGGAGTAGGGAATATTGTAAGTTACTGCTAGCAAAACAATGCAAAATATGTAATTATTTTCGGTAATCCAGACACTTTTGGTAATCCAATACCCCTTTGGTCCCATACCCGTCGGACTATTAAGGGGGAGCTGTAATGTAATTTTCTAGGAATTATAAATAACCAATCAACAATTCTATTTTACTCAGATGCATTTTGGAAATTACAATATTTCTCCCTTCGGTGGGTTTTCGTCCATACAAGCTAAACAAGGCACAAGCAATTTTCCAATACACTTCCATTTTCAATGTTTCAACCATTTAACTACTTTCGTACTAAAATCATTTTCATCTATGATAACTTCTGAAAGGCAGATGCCAACGAGACCTTGAAGTTTGTCTGATATTGGGAGGTACTACGTGCTGGTACTGTACCTCCCAATATCAGACAGTTTAATGCAGTCGCCATATAGTGAAAAACACAATGGATTATGAAAACATCAAATTTGTGTTAGGAATGTGAAAATACCAAAAAAATATAAATATAAATTTTACATAGCATATATAATTAAAATATAGGCTATATACAGCATATTATTTATCTTTTCAGCTGTATAAATCTCACTTTGATTCAATTCTAAATATAAAACAGGATACTTTGATAAATGGAACATAAAAATTATAACAAAAAGTAAATGTTGAATAATTATTAATTCATCAAGAACGACCTGGACGGAAGTAACAAAAAAGAAAAATGAAACTGTTATTACGAACAGAAGAGTGGAAAGAAATCGGTTTAGGCTTGAGACGTCGAATGTCGAGTTACAAAGGGGTAAAAAGTGTATTCATATTCTTGCATTTATAATGTCATTTATGTCTACGCGACTAATAACTACTACAATCACTATATTGATTTTTATCATGTAGGAGTAATTTTTCAAACATTTTTGCTTTTTTTTCCAATAACTGATTTATTAAAAATTATTCTTTAGCCACCACAAAGCTGTTAAGATAATAAATTACATCATAAATGTGTAAAAATCAAATGTCTTCCTACTCTTTAATGTGGCTGGCAAACTGCCTTCATAACACGATCTTTCAACTTTCATAAACACTCTTGTCATAACCTTAAAACTTTGTTTTTCATTACTACTGTACTACCTACAATTCTTGTTCAATGAATGAATAACTGCAAAAATTTATGGTTTCTTGTTATCATAACCTTAATTTCAACAATAACACAGAAGTTTAACAACACTAAATGGTGTTTGACAACTTAACCAGATTAGTCTTCTCTAACAGATAAGGAATATTGTTTGGCTTTTTACAACCTGTCCTGCTCCACCATTCCTATTTTAAGCCAGTCTTTATTTGACGCCTGTGCTCAAAATTTGTCGTCTGAAAGAGTATTTGAACAGTTCTTTGTTTTTATTTTAAAATATTTCATACATAATTAATTCTTTCAGAATAATGTAGGTGGGGCTTTGCGTTTTTCAGGTGGGTTATGGATGAAGGCATCCATTATTTAGAGTATTTGCTATTTAGAGGTAAATATTATAGATGTCCTTTTTGAAGGGTTTGCAGATTGTAAAAATGTCCATTAAGTAGAGATGTCCACTATTTGGGAGTGAACATTAATAGAGGCTTTTTACTGTATTTTTAAAAAAACATAATTTTAAAGATTTTAAGAAAAAATAACATCATTTTCTATACTAACTATATTCCTTTGTAAATGATATTTTGTTATATTCATTCCTTACTATTATTACTTTCCTTCATTCTCCATCACGTCACATTTGCAAACACTCCAAAAGCTGGCTGTTGTGGTTTGATTGAATGTCAACACTTATTGTCATTTGAATGAAATATAATAGTTAACAGTTAATTAATAAATTTAATATCTTTTACTGTATTTTGGAGTAACTTTTACATTTTTGGAAATAAGCCTTATTTTTGAATTTTCATTTAATAAGATCAGAAAATACAATATACAAATGAGAAATCATTTTCATTATAACTAGCTTTGTCATCTCACATCTTATGCTTAAGTTAAAAATTGTGGATCTATAAGCTTATCTCACATGTTTTAGGCACATTTAGGTATATTCATTTTCTTACAAATCAATAATCTTTATGCATTCTTCACTTTTGTTTTAGAACTGATTTAGTCAAAAAGGAGTTCTCTCTCTTCAATTGGCAAAAGTATTCTTGTACTGAAGACGTTAAGATATTTATGATTTCTCCGAAAAGCATTTATATTATTGCAGATATAAAGCTAACTTAAATAACAAGAAAACGAATGTTGTTAAATCAAAGAAACAAAACTTTGCACTTTAAATAAATTAAGCAGAAAGTCTAAAAAACTAAGGTCTATAAATAAATTGTGGAACAACAACATATAGATATTTAATGGTGATGAAATATCTAAAAAAACTTGAGGATTTTATATTGTAATAAAGGGAATTCTGAAATAAATAAAATTGACCAATCACATTCCAGATAATTAAATAATAATGTGAGAAAACTTATGAAGAAAAAATGTTACAATTTTTGTTCCTAAATATAAATAAAAATACAAATATTATATTTTAAACCTTTATTATTTTTATACATAGATTAAGAAATAACTACATTAAAATGTAAACAAAAAATTACTTAAATGAAAGATTAATTCATGTCATAAAATTTACAGCTTTTTCATTTCAATCAATAGGATTGTCATTTCATGTGATATGCTATTGTAATAATTTACGCATAAAATTAAATATAGAAATAACATCCTGATTAAGAATAAATAAATATAATTTAATGTAAAAAGTCAAATACTAACTAATTTTTTTTAAAACATCAAATTTAGTTTTGCATGGACTTGAATATAAAATAAAATAAATTTTACAAAATCAGTATTAAAAAAAATTACATCTGAATTTTGAAATAATATTTGGAAGAAAATTTATAATTTTATTAATTAAAACACTTTAAAAAAATTAAATTATTTATTTCTTGAATATAACTGATAATCCAGAAAAACGGTCGTGCAAAGCAATATTAAACAACAACAGATCACAAATTGAAGAGATTGCATAAAGCTGTTGTCTTCCTAAAAAGAAAGCAAGGTTCAAACAATTTAGACCAATCAAAATTTTGTGAGAAAATAAGTAACATTTTCCAATTAGTGCTGTCAGTTAGAGATGATACTTAGGATTATTGTTTAGATTATTAATAATTTAAAGTAATTAAAAAAGGATTTAAATCATAAAAAATTATTTAGATTACAGATTTATTTTGTCATTTTTATTTACGAGATCTATTACATGTATTTTATGAGATTGTTCTTGTCTAAATAATATAAGCTAACAATTTTTTTCATTAAATTTGAGAATTTTTTTTTTCAATTAGAAAATTTTCAAACTATTTTAATGAGATTATTCAGTTTTATTTTTTTTTAAATTAAAAAACTCTCTTTAGCTTCTGAATTTACAAAAAATATCAAATCTTTTAAATTTTAGAGTAACATAATTAACAAAATACTTCCATATTTTTAAAATAACCAACTAAAAATAAATATATAAAAATATTTACTTACTTTGTCTTTGAATTGTAAATTTAGATGACGATTGGGAACCAATTTCTTTAACTAACTGCATTTGAATTTTTGGTAGTATCTGCATGTAGCCATTCACAAGTGCATTACGAGCTGCAGCTTTCTGATAATCTTGTGTCTGTTGAGAATTCAGAGAAAATTAATATTTAAATTACGTGTTTTATAAATTTTTAAAGTTAATATTTACTGAAAATTGGGAATTCAATTTCTCGTTTAGATAGGCTGCTTCAATAGGTCGACTACGTTGCAGAAAGAACATAATGAGCAATTCTTGAGCTTTAGGATCAGAACTATTATGGAGAAAGCTAATCAAGGCATCTTCTTCCAAAGGTCTTAAATGCAATTGAAACAATGCATCAAGATTTCCAGCTAAAAAGATTTAATGAATGGAATATTAATTTTTAAGTAAAATAAAACTATATGAAGTCCAATCCTGTTTATGCATTTCTCAGTTGTATGTTGTTTGCAATTATGTGTTAAATATTTTCTGCATGGTACTTTCTCCATTATAAAACACTTCAGTTGTACATTTTTCATTTTACAATTCTGCACTTATACTTAATATTTTTCAGTACCCTACAGCACTTTTTTCTCACTTATGCATTATGCACTTTGAAACAAAAAAATTTAAATCAATTATTAAAAAAATGGAAAAGTGAATTATGTATCCACTTTAACTTTGTCCACACTGACAGCAAATTGCCAGCAGATGCAAAAAGCAAAGCAAATCATATATATCATGTCATCATATGTATAATTCACATTGCTCTTTCTGACTAGTTGAACTGCTCTGCCAGTCAACAAATTGAAATTTTTTGCCTTGTGAACCAATTTTGCTAAGTGGATGAAAATTGTTTTCTAGTTTCTCATTTGTTTTCACTATTTGTTGTCAATGTGAGCTAACCTTTAGACTGACTCTTCATTCTTTCCTGTGACTTCAACAGAAGGATACAACTGACAGTGTGTGGCAAGTTCAATGAAAAAAACAAGAAATAAACAAAAGTTGATCTATTTTTTAAAAGTGCATGACTTAACAACATAAAAGGAAAAGTGAAACAATGTGAAATTAAATGTATATTATACATATAATAAATTGAAACTTCTTTGTTAAGAACTATGCAAACAAATTGTTGTATAGTGTTAATTTGTAATTCAAAAGTATTTTCAATTGTATGTTTTTCTCACATTCTTTGAAAAATGTATAAACAGGATTCAACTATATCAGTAGTATAAACAATACTATATTAAAATCAATAATAATTATTTCTTCTTTAATATTTTATGAACCCCCATGTAGCTAACTGTAAAAGATACGAGTGAAATAACTTGCAAGATGATAATTATTTATTTAATAATTAAATAGTAAGTCTCACATGATACAGATTTTATTAGATACAGTTTCTAGATTCATTCAGGTAAACTAATATGTTTTCAAAAGTTGAAATATCAATAAAAATTCAGATTAATTTGTATAATTTAATATAAATTTTCTATTAAAATGTTTATTAAATTTAATATATATATTAATAAAGTATTGCTTATGCAACCATTTATAATTAACAAAACACATGTTAAAATCTGTTTTAAATATTTTATTTGCATGTTTACTATAATGAATAACATCTCATTTCAACGTTTCTGAATATACAGAGCAATACTTTATTATATTGAGTAGACTACTTGAGAAAAATGCATGCAAATCAAGGTATTCACCACAGTGAGTAGTATTCAATTGTTCTCTATTTGAAATGTCAGAAGCTGGAGAAGCACAGTTTGCTGACTTAAGAGAGAGATTCATCTGGTTAACCTAATCATTTGTCATCTGTTTACATCAATCCCACATAAAACAAAACCCTACTGTATTTCTAAACAGCAATCAATACAAACTAAATACTAATTTAACAAAATTAATACTTATCTTGTAGTGATTATTTTTCACAGATAAAAGACTAGCAGGCTAACCCATATTTATTTTAGAATCTGACTACAAAATATGCTTTATGGATCACTTACTATCATGTTTATCACTTACTTAAATTGAATTATCATTTCATTAACTAATGCCATTATTATAAATTACTACAAAACTTAGATTTTAATTGATCTTTTTTAAATCCTGCTAAAAGAATAAAATTCACTATAAAGCTGAGCTAGAATAATCCTATTTCAAAATTTTAGTTGATATCAACTACAGTAAAAAAAATTAATGCTAATAACATAGTATTCAAACATGAGAAAATCATAATTATGCTTAGATTATACTTATGGAAGAACTTTTATGCTAGACCAGACAATAAATATTTACAAAATATGCAACTAAATTTGAAGTTTAATTAAATTTAGAAGTCTTACTCTGTTGACAGCCAAGAAAAAAATGATTCAAAAGGTCTTCGGCATTTCCTTGATTGTGAAATTTGCGCTGGAAATGAAATGCCTGAGCTGTTAATCTAAAACAAAGACAAAGAGAAGATAATTTCAAAATAAATCCAAATTTCACATTTTAAAATAACCATATTTTTAAGTTAATTTCAGGAGGACATTTTTAACTTTAACTTTTGCCTTTCTTTACATTAAAATTAAATAAAATAATTACCCATTAGCCAAATATATTGTAAGATACAGCTTTACTTCTTCAGGAGTCTGGTGAGGAGGATTTCTTATTTGATAATATTTCATTGCTTTTTTATGTTCTCCTTGATATAAAAATGCCTTTAAAATTCTAACATGTTGCCATGGTAAAATATCCAGAGAATTTATCATTGGATCTAATAGAACAGAAATTGCTTCCTGAAATAAATTTAACTCTATTATTATTATTATTCCATAAGCAGCATTTTGTACATATATTTTTCTTTAAAAATGAAATACCTCAAAATCTTGATGATCTAATAACCAGAAACTATGAACAATTTTTACATGGCTTGGATTCAAACAAAATACTGCAGGAAATTTCATAAACTTTTCTACCAAATGACTTTGTCTGTCAGATAAAAATGAAGCCATATCCAACAGAACATACAGCATCAGCTGGTGTTTATCCATAATAGAAATTGTATTAATGAGATATGTATTTAAAACTGCATAGAAGCTGGGAGGAGGATACACTCCATTCCATCCTGCTTTCTCCCATTGATTACTCAAGGCTGCACCCATTTCTGATATCATTCCATCAATTATTAATATATCAGTTTGTCCAATAGTGCTAAGAAAAATACCAAGAATATATTTTATATATAAGACATACATGAGTGATTATTTATTGTTTAAAACAAATAATAGAAATTAACCTGTGAAGTTTTTGCAGTTCTTCTCGTCTCGAAGAATAAGCTTCTGATAATACAGAGACAGGATATGCAACTTCATTTTCTCCGTAAGCTTCACCTTCTATATATTCTGGCAATAAACTGCAGTTATATAACCATAAAATAACTTTTAGATAAACTGCTATTAACTGAGTCACATCTCTCCTCTGTTCAAGTTCTTGTTCTCCTATCAAAATTTATAATTAATGAATAAATTTTATATATCTAAACAAAATAATAGGTTTATTTAAAAAGCACCTTGTTCTCTTATAGGCACAGCTTGATTTTGAAGTAATTGAAAAATACTTGCAAGTGTTTGCAATTTGCTAACATAGTGATGTAAAAGCCTTAATGTCGAGTGATCCAATTCTTGACCAGAATAATTAAAAAGAGGAACACCTAAAAATAATTATAAGCTATGAAATAATTTATGAAATAATTATTATTACGTATGTGTCATTATATACTTGCATAATTTGTCAATTGAGGTTTTTATTTGGCTAACCCTTTTCCACAGCCAATCAAAAATAAATTTTAGAGTACAACCAGAAGATGCAAATTCTATAGAAAACATTTATCTAAAATTAATTTTCACTTTAAATATTAAAAACGTTTTGTCTATACAAAAGAATTCATCTTTGAAACTTTTCAAATACTTTACCTCCCTTGCTCCACATTTGAATGCAGGAATTTATAAAATATGATAAATTATTTTCCAAAGCAACCGACAATAAAGCTTCTCTCTACACAGTTGAATTCAATAAAAATTCATTTGTAAATGATATTTTGTAAATGCAGAATTAATGAAAACGTTACTTTACCATTAATGTTTTTGACAAAGCATTTCCCTGTTTTTGTTGTATTAAGCCAGTAAATTCACAAAAGGAAAATAAAGTCTTTGGTTCTAAAATACACATTGGTCCTGCATTTATCATTTCTGAAAGCACCTAAAGTAATCCTCAAAATTAATAAAAATATATTACATTAATTTCAAATATTTAAGTTCAGTACCATTCGTTGACAACCCAAATACTCTGCTTCTATGATTCCACTTTCCATAAGAGAAAATAATTCTGAAGATAAAAAACAAAATGTATATTAAAAATTTATAAATTTTTCATTTAACAACACCAGAAAACTTTATTCAAACAACTTACTAAAAGATAATGAAGCTGGGAAATAAAATTCGTCTGCAGTAGATAAAGATTTAAACTTTGCCAAGGTATTTGTTTTTATTTGAAGATTCTAATTTCACAATTAAAGATAAACAATTAAATATATATTTACGATTGTATAAAAGAAAAATTTTTAATTCATGAATTGAAAATAATATAAATTTAAAATTGTTTTATAAACTCTTACTAATAAAGGCAACGTTGAAGATTGTTCAGATATCTGAGAGAGTGAAAAGATACCTAAATAGGAACAGAATTTTGTACTCGAACACCTATGTATTAAAATTTATTATCAATTTCATTTTTTACTGAAGCATCAATTTCTGTAATGAAAAATCGAATATTTCCCAACCTGACAGTATGTGGCATTTGTGTCCTATACCATTGATTCATATCAAATAATACCAAGTAGCTTACTGGACTATTTTCTGTGCTCTCATCTGAAGCTTCCCATGCAAGAACACACAAACTATAGTCTGGACTAGTATTCCAATCTAAACAAAAAATAATAATAATTCCATTTTCTTTTTGATCTTAAAAACTAAATATCTATTATCACTAAACAAAATATAAATATATTTTAAACATTCAATCTAAAAATACCTTATATTGAAATTGTTTGATTATGAATTGTTTCAAATATTTTCCAATTATATGTAATTCCAATAAAAACTGATAAGTCTCAGTCCATATTTTGTGAAATCTACATGTAGTAGAGGTGTGAGGAATGTTGGTGGCATAGCAGTACATTCTGGAAATCTTGCACCCTCATGGTTTGCCATTTCCCAGCAAGGTAATGTTTGATCACACACAGCTTCTTTCACAAAATATCTGTCATATTGCCACACTTTCTTGATCTGCCTGGTCTTCTGATATGTTGCCTGCCCATTGAGCATCTGTGGGATCAGACTCACATCTGTAGATGGTTGATGTCAGCCTTCATCTACAGATGTGAGGCAAAAGTGGCAGTTGCAACATGTAGACAAATCACAGGATAGCATATGATGTTAGTGTGCATTCATGCCCAACTTTGTCAACAATCATATCCATGCAAGAAAAACTCCTACAACATATTAAGTTTAAAGGTTCCTTTAAATTTTACCATTGTTCCACAGGAAATTCTCTCTTTTTTGTGACATTGTAATCCCTTATCACTATCACCATTATGCACTAATAGTTTCATTCAATTCCAACAACACCTTCTTGGTGTGTAACTTTTTGTCACTGATTTTTGGAATCAATAAAACTGATTCCAAAAATTTAATTAACATTTTTAATTGACAAAGATTATTTATCAATTAATTATATTGTCAACTTTTGTAAAGAAGCTTCCTGATTAGATTAATATTAAAAACTTGGAATAAATTTTCATTTTTCAAATGTTATTTTTTGAACAATGTAAATTAAAATGGGATATCTAAATACACATCCTTACTAATAAAACAACTCTTATAGTTCAGTGCATTTGATTTTTATACTGAATAACATAACATGAACATTCAATAATACAAAGATTAATTATATTTAAGTATAATTTACAACATTATTTGTGTTTTGTGATTTCAATTAAGTCTTAAAATCATTAAATTTTCTGTTATTTTACTTATCTCTATTAGAATATTAAATAAAAACATTCCATATAAAACTCTAATCAATATTTATAAAGATTATTAAATATTATTGTACAATTCATACTTCCGTTTCTATGCTAACTTTGCATTATCTTTTAGTTTAACTCATAAAAAAAAAAAAATTAAAATCAAACCTTCATTATGTAATGTATCTTCGTGTTCTGGTCTGCCTATTGATAAAATATCTGATTGCTGGATTGTGTAACAGGATATAAGGCGACTTATTACTTCATCATTTTCATTTGACTGGAGAGGATCAGTACCTAAGGCATATTCAAAGCGAAGACAGCAGTTTTGAAAGCCCTAAACATAACAGAATTTTGTAATAAATTATATAACTTTTAAATAATACAGTATTATTATATAATAAAAAGTTTAAACATGTTTAATCTTTTATTTAAATCTAATAAACAAGAATGTCACATTAAAAAAATTACTAACCTGATAGAGAAATCCATAATTATCAATTAATTCTTTTTTTGAATAAGATAATGAGTAAAGTGATGCTATTGTTTGCACTTCTGGGCTGAATATCAAATAAAAATTCAGGTATAATCATTGTTAAATAAAAATTTTGCTTTCATAACAATTACACATATAATTTATATAATAACCATTATAACAAATATAGTACTTACTGATCTTCCTCTGTACCCCTAATAGCCCAAAAATAACAGAAATTCTTTGGATCATTTTCTGGTTCTTGAAATGCAAATTTAATGACTGGAAGCATGTAATCTTCTAATGGACAACTATAACTAAAATTTTTAAAAATCTTTTACATTGCCAGAATGTTTCAAACAATCAAAATTTTATCTGGAGACTAAATTTATTTATCATCTTACTGCAGGTTCAAGTGTGACATGCTCCATAACTGAACTCCTCCAAACTGAAATCCTACAGCAAGTAAGTTGACATGACGAAAAAATTTCAGAACTGTAACTGCTGCATCATCTTTGGTGATAAATTAATTATAATGTATATTTAATAAAAATTTCAATAATATAATTATATTATTATAAAAATTTAATACACAAATAGCCCTTGCTATATATATAATCCCATTTTATGTTTTCCTATAATGTCATTTCAAAAAAAATTAAGAGAAACACTAAAATAAATCATTTTGTGCCTTCATCTACGATTCAACCATCATATGTCGCTTGTGTTATACGTGCAGAGCCTTTTTCAGCTTCAAAATACACATACATAAAATTTTGTCTTGTTTTTTGAACTTTAGTTTGAAACTTCTCAATTCAAAGATTTTGTTTTACATGTAAGATTATCTCACGTTCTGCATAACCTTAACTTGAAAGAATAAGACATAAAAATTAAGTATCTTTTCAATAAATAAAAAAACTACTGGAGTGTAGATATAAATGGAAAGAACATGTAGAGAGGAATACAAAAAACAATTCCTAGAGATGGCACCAATTGTTAAGAGAGGCAAAAGAAAGCCACATTGGATAAAAAAATCTCAAGCTGTAAAAGGTATTTTCCCAAATCCATGAAAGAAAAACGAAACATCTTCTTTAAATTGTAATGAACTTTGTGTTTACAACAATTTCTTCAAAAGAGTTGAAATTTAACAATTGAGTCATCTCAGATCTTCAAAGGAACAAACAACAATCCAGTTCGTCCTTATATCAATTGATCCGCATGTGATTAAATTATTACTTACAGACGTACTAATTAAAAAAAAACAAATATATTTATTTTTAAATTCTACAGTTACTTTTTATTGTGGAATAAATCCTATATTACCCACTTACAAGGCATTTATTTTTATGATCCAAGCATAATCTGAGCTACCATGCACCACAAATGTGTTTACTTTAGAAACTGGAGTGTGCTACTCATGTTTATTTTTTATTCAGATTATGCTTTGCTCACTACTCACTATTATGCACACTCAACTCACTTTTAATTTTCAGAATGTAGAAGTATGTTGACAACAAGTATAAACAACTGAAAACTAGTGTCGCTAAAATGTGCTGTGTGTTCCCAAATTTTTGGCAGAATCTATATTTTTGCAACACAATTGTTCTAGAATTACAATAATATCCAAAATGATATACAAGAAGGCCAAATTATTCAAAATTATGTACAAAACAAAAATCGATATAACAGTGATATTTCCTATAAACATTTCAGTGCTCAAACATGTTCACTTTTAACACCATGTCCTGCTAGTTCTCAGCCACATGATTTGAACTCAGTAGAGTGCAATCTGAGTATCTAAAGTAAATGCACAAGTCAATTTGCTGTATATGACTTGATATTATGCAATGCTTTCTTGGAACCAATTAATTCTGTAGTGCAAGGAATATCTGTATATGTTTTATTTCTTACTTATTAAAAATTACAAAAGAAATATTTACCTGAATTAAAAGTTTGCAACGGACTATTATCATGATCTCTATATTGAAAATAGCCATGATGCCTGTCACCTGCAAATATTATTTTAGCTGTTATAAATAAATAAATCCAATATTCTTATATTATTTGATATTTTGTTTAAATATTTGATTTAAAACTCAAATATTTAAACAAATATTATGCTGAATGTAATGCAAAAATGGAAACTTGTAGAAAAAATTTTAAGTAGAATGACTATTTACACCTTAACTTATGATGATGTATTTATTTTTTAAATTAATTTTAAGGTAAAAGGGACTAAAGAAAGGCAAAAAAATGCACAAAATTCATTTCTCTAAATAAAAAAGGGTAAGTTGAGATGGTGTTTGGCTTCTTAAAATAAAAACTATTATATAACTTTTATTAAATAATATACAAAAAAAGAAGTGAATATAGAAAGGAATACTAAGAGAAAAATCATATTTAGAATTTTCCAATATCTAAGCCAAAGAATATTATGCTATTATATTATTTATGCTAAAATAGTTCATGTTTATAGCATAAACAGCTTTCAGTTTAATAATTACTATTCAACAAAAATTCAAGATTTGATTTCCCTTCTATGCAGCAGACTAAAAACGATATAACTTTCACTCAAAAAATAAAATAATAAATAAATAAACTGAATACAAAATTACAACATTCATATTTATTTTTATTATAAATAATATAGTAAACAAATTATTAATTAAAAGGAAATGAAGGATTTAAATGTAACTAACTTACCATTTAGTGGAAGACACAAATGCTGATTATGTGCCTGAGCATTTTCCCTTTTTCCCATAATATTGTGAGTTTGTTGTGTGATAAAAGTAATAGTATTAGGATCATTTTCATTACAATAATTGTCATCATCTAAATTTAAATCAACAATGAGTACTTGACCATTAGACATGCCAACAGCCACAATTCCAAACATGTAACACAATTCCTTGCTCAAAGCATAAGTTTCCGAACATGTTCCTGCATGTGAACTTATCACATCTAAAGACGTTATCTTTGAGGAAAATTCAATTGCCTTTAGAATTTTTGACATTTTCACATCGTACAGACACAAGAGACTGTTGGATCGTCCCCAGTCCACAGCAATTAAAAGACGTAATACCGGATTGACGACCGCTCTAAATTCTACGACGGCCGAGATCGAAGTTACAAAATCTTTTGTTGGAACACTAAGACTCCAACTGCTGCATCTTTCTATAGTGTGTGTAGAAAACACTTCCAGACTAGATCCTTTTATCAACCATACCCACATTCCATCTAAGAAAAAAAAAAGTTTGTTTTTATATTTATTGTAATTGTCATAATTGAAATGATTTAAAAACTTACCATGACTAAAATTGCCAAATGTTGTATGTTTTTCATCGGGATTTAACGGATTCTTTAAAGCATAATTATAAAGCGTAGTTGGAAATGGAAGTGGGGACACACGACAGGGTGGCAATTGTGTTTTCATCCTCTTTTCTATAATTTATCTGAAAAAGTTAATTCAATTAAAGCTTTGAATACCTTTCTCTAAATTAAATAAAAACTTACTAATAAACAAATATAAAAATTAATACAAATAAGAACTTTATTATATAAAATGCATAAAATCTTTTAAGAAATATAACAAATTAAAAAAATAAAAAACATTTTAAGCATTCTATTAAATATTAGTAAATTTTATAAATATGATTTCAGAAATTTACAAATCCATATATTAAGAGTTATGCTTAAGATACGTGTCTTTTTAAGATTCAGAAACCTTGAATTATTATACATCAGAGTAAATTGTTTTATACTTGAAAATTTAACAAAAATAACAACAGTTCATCATTGAAGGATTAATAATTTGAAAGTTAAAATCACAAAGAAACAAAAATTCCTTTCTTTTCAAATAATCACAAATATCTAAACTGCTTTGAATTTATTTATTAAATCATTAAGCATAAGATTTCTTGATGTTTTTTATCTATTGTCAGATAAAACATCAAAAAGTCTTGGCTGTATTGTGGTCATTGTCTCTTATCTCTGAGACACATGCACAATTAGACACAAGCTAAAAGTTTGTTTATAAATTATGTCAAGAACAATCACAACATAACTCCAAATGCAATTCTGAATGACTTTCCCTTTTAAACATTTTCTTGTCCTCCAGAGATAAGCGGATAGCTGTCTTTTTAGCAGTCTTTCATCTGAAGCATTGATTTCATCAAAGAAAAGATGGATGACTGAATACTAGTTGCATTGCATTATTATTTATAAAACAAGTAAAACGACAAAGCCATATTTGGGACAAGACTATGTCTCGGAGACTCACTACTAAGCAGAATCACTTTGACACTCAAGTGTGTCTCGTTCTCGTTTTCCAATCTTCTTTGGCATCGCTGCTTTGAGTGTGACTATTCAAACTTCGCCGGCCACGACCACGAGGTCGTCCACGATGCATTTTCGATGAAATTAAGTTATCCAGGTATACCCTAACCAATGTCGCAATTTCTTTTCGTTGCGTGACGGCCAGAGTTGAATGTTTGTCGATGCGTAATAAAAATTTCCCGTTTTTGAAAAAAATAATCGCGGCTATTGTATCGGCTGAAATTATATTTTTATTTTGCACAAATAATATACAGTTTAACCCGATTATAACATTATTGGATGTAACGACAACCCTAATATAAAGTCTTTAGTGGCATGGCTAAAATCTGTACATGGCACATCCTACCTTGTCCATGATGTCCATGTTGACCTCGATCACGTGTTCTGCCGGTAAAAATTAATTGAGAAATGATCCAGGCGAATAATTTACTTAAACTGTATCGGCAATGCAATATTTACAATAGCGTCAATATATAATATAAATCCAAGATCGCACAGCTGTCGACTTGAAAGGTTAATTAACGTGAAGTGAAAAAATCTCTCTCCTACCTCGTCCCTGATGTCCACGTTGACCTTGACCACGTGTTCTGTGTCTTTTGTTCTGTTGTTAAAAATTTACTAAAAAACTAATAATTTACTTAATTTGTATTGGCAGAGTGATATTTACAACAGCGTCGATATATAACATAAATCCAAGATCGGCACGGCTGTCGAATTGAAAGGTAGTAAAAAGATGTCTCTCAACATTACCTTTTAGAATATTACAACAGTGTAATATTCTAAAAGGTAATGTTTTGGTTTTATCTAAAAGTATGTTTTTGTTTCATTGTGTGTTTTTATGTTTGTTCAGGACAGTTCCAAAAAGCTTTTGCTACTTTTCCATCTGATGATTAAACATAAATAAAAGTATTTGGGATCCAGCTTCTTTAGAGTACTGTATATGCTTTTAGGAATAGGAGGGTCACTTGTCTGACCACAAAAAGTCATCAGGATGGAGGATGTCAAAATCTGAAAAATATTGGACTACATGTTTAATTGATCGTTTCCGTTACCAGTTTCAGTGTATTTTTAAGCTTAAAAAATTCCACATTGGACTATGTGGTTTTTAGACATTCCCATAAAACAACACAAAGAGCACTTTACAGTCATTATAGAAAATTTATATCAGTCATAAAAACAAAAGGTTGTAAAATGAATGGTAGGTAAAATAATGTTATTCTAATAGGAATGAATCAAGAACAAATGAACATAAAAATATTTTACAGGATGCAATTAAACTGAACAGAAATTAAGTATAGTACCAATTCTTTAGTGATAAACAAATTATTTTGGGTTAAGATATAGTCACTATATTGTTATACTACTATATAAAAATTTCATAAATTCACTCACAAGAGCCAATGCATAATACAAATATCCCTCACGTTATGAAAATTTGCCTTATGTCACTTTGTTTTATGAAGGATATACATTAGTACATGTTCTTGTTAAATGAAAGAAATCAAAAGAGGATTTTCACCGTTATGAAAAAAAGTGAAAAGCAAAAATAGCATTTAGCATTTGTTTTGCAAGCTTGCCATTTTAGAGACAGCGTACATACACCCCAACCAGTGGCCAGCAAGAAGTACGTGCAAGCTCTTTTCTCAGAAACTACACTCATCATCTCGAACCGTCTGCGTGTGTTTGCACTCTATCTCAATTTATTTTGTTCCAATTATCATTAGTAAAATATGTCTTAAGGTACAAAAAAACCTTTAGGACACACTTAGTATAATTTTGTAGGTTAATATTGAGTCTGGAATAGCTCAAAAATTTTTCCCATATAAATTACTTCTAACTGCTTTTTGCAAAACTGTCATATTGACTTACAAAAGGTTCGTTCTACTTTTGGATATCAGGGGATGCCTGTATATTGAATGTATTTGGGCATGTTTTGAAGAAACTTGCAAAATAAATGAAAAGAATAATTTCTAAATTACACATTGTTGTGGTAAGATGGGAAAGATGACTACTGAAAACGAACCTAGGCTTATTTATTTACTTTTTTAGAAAATTGTAAAGTTTCTTTTTCGATTAGAAACCAAAAACTACTAAGGAAAACATTAAGAATTTATTTCAATTTGTCTTTAATTATGCTAAATTTCTTACTTTTGTAAACTATAAAATATCACTTACTGAAATTTAAGATTTTTTAGAAAATTATGTAAATTCAGGCAATCAGTCTCAAATCAAGGTCAAGAAATTGACAATAAATTCTGAAATAAGTTACATGCGTTACAAGCACTATTTAAAAATATTTTAATTTTGTATTTATTAAATGGTAAGATGTGAACTCCGAATGAGGGCTTTTCCACCCCCCCGAAATGGATGTACTGTACGTTGTAATCAATTTCACCGAACACGTGCGTCTATGTTATTACACGACAACGGTCGAATTTCGTTCCCGCTAATATTTTGTTCGTGCTTTTTGAAATATTTCGTAAAGATTTCCATTTCAATTCGAAACATTAACTAAATCATAAAACATCTTATTCTTATGGGATTAAAGGAATCTTTCTCAAAGAATTAATTTCACTCTAATTACCTTGTGTGATTTCTAAAGAGCAGTTTACCTGAAATCTGACAAACCCGCGACGATTAAGTATTTAAAATTAACACGATAATTAATTACAAAAACAAATATTTTCAAATTATAAATAAATCTCGAACATTACTTTGGTACATTCTAAACAAACTTTTAATTCTGTAAAACGACGATAGAGGCGCTTAGTTAAATACAATTTTTTTAAAATATTTTATTAAAATATAATTATTCGTGTCGAAAAATTTCGTCAACATAATAATTATTAAACAAAAATCTAATTTTTTGCTTGTAGTGGAGCTCTCAAGATTTAATTTTGGGTAATAATGGAGTTGAACGGGTCAAAACAATTTTAATGCGAATTCAATAAAATTCTTATCTTATGTTACAGCTAATTCATAAATTTTTTAAAACTCTTTCCGCCCTGTGGGCACTAAGAGGGTCTCTTTCAGCAAGCCCATTATGGATCCGTCCAGGCCCACAATGGGGCGGTCGGGTGGTGAGGGACGGGGGTCACCATATTCGGACCACCCCCGAAAAATTCCTGGGGATTTTTCGACCGTCCGTATTCGATCCCGGGTTCCCCAGAGCGGTAGGAGGCCACCTCCATCCGGCCGTCATACAATGCGCGTGCTATCAGTTCATAGTGTCATTTGGCGTATCTTTCAGAAAAAGACCTGTTACAGCATCGACTCTTACCTTGTTTCGCGGGATCAAGATTCGAGTCCGAGGTTTATTTCGAAGGGAAATCTATAAAACGGAATAGGCGGAGGAGTTACGCACCGATAAAACACTGCCATTACCTATCACAGTATCTTCTATTATTTATAAATTTTAAGTAGTAAGTGATCCGATGAGTATTTGTTATTTTTAAGATATGTATAGAAATATGAGCAATTTACACTTTTACAGCAGTGAATGGTTCATATTTCCAAGTTTATGAAAAATAAATCTCTGCTAAAAGAAATACAAACCACATTTTCTGTCGGAACATTATGTACAAATGTTTTGTGCAGATAAAAAGCAAGATTAAGAATGTGTGTTGTTTTGTATTTTCGTTTACTTTTATCTATTATTTGTTATAAAATATTGTAAAGATTTAATATTTACATTATGTTACTTACGTTTCAAAACTTTTTTCGGGTATCCTCTTTTCTTATAATTAGATTATGGTAATCCTAAGAGTTGAATAGTTCAAGTTTATATCTGTATCTGTTGACAGTGGGAAGCAGTGGCGCACCCAGAGAAGGACCAAGAGGCCTTGGCACCCTACAAAAGAAAAAGAAAACAAACACTAGAAAATTTTTCGTAATTAAGAAAAAGAAGAAAAAAAAGCATGCGCATTGCGAGGTGACGCGCGAACTCGGCTATTATTATTTGTTTTAATATTTTTATGTTTTACACAAGTAACTATATTTTCATTTATTCGTAACTTCCGGATACTTATTCTGAAATGTTTTTAAAATTTTCATTCTGTTCGAATGCAACCGACATTCAATTTGTATTTTTACCCGAAGAAGGTCGGTAAAATACGGGTGCGTGTCGGACAAAGGATTTAGATATGTATAGAGGATAGACAACGGCCATTCTATTTTATGTATACGGTATAAATAATAAATTTTAAATATTTAGAACTCACGTTATCTATCTAAGTTATAACGTAATTTATGTAAGTACGCCGATTTGAGGGGGATATTTTATTCTTTTGTCAGGATAGTTTAGGACCTTCGCGTATGCGGATGGGGGATCTGGAGGCAAAGAAAGACAAGTGTTTACAAAAACCGTTTATTTGGATGAAAATTCTTACATTGATATAGGATAGTCTCTAAAGGGTGGAGTTCCGACGCTGTTGAGGGTTTTCTCTTTCAGTCAGTCTCTCTCTTTTCTTTTTTCTTCTATGGGGCAGCCCCGGGTCGGTGGTGATTGCACGGTTGGAGAAAAGAAGTTCAATAAGTGTCGAGCTCCTCTCGGTATCAGCAGAGGAAAAGCGAGGAAGCTTTCGAACGGGCGGATAGAACTGGTAGATGAACGGGTGGATCTCCGTCATCAGAGGTTTTGTATCCGTTTTCTCCCTTATTCCTCATTGCATTCGTCGGGTTTTCCCCTCTTGCTCCCCTATTGGACTGTAACCTGTCACCAGGTTGAATTCGAGACCAATTCGGGTCTCAAGAAAGGTCTTCCCGGGATAGTTTATCCGACACCATCCGTTCGACTATGCGACTTACCGATAAGACACTCACGATCGTATATTCTCTCGTCGCTTTCTTTTTCCTTATTGCGTTTTAAAAACAATTTCCTTTTTCATTTTTTTTTGCGATCTAATTTGTTTTCCTCTATTCTTTATGAGCGACGATGTCAAAGTGTGGTGTTGCTGGCTCGACACCTATGTGACTGTTTTCTTATTTGTTAATTTTATCAAATTACCTCATCAAATACGAACAGTCCCCGGGCCTCACGTTTATAGTTATGTGCTATTCTACCCACGACTCGTTAGACCATCTAGTATTCTGGACGATTTAAGCATAGTTATGACAGAAATCGGCAAATTTAAAAAGTGACCTCGTACAGAATTATATCATCAGCAGGATAACTCGCTAATCCGTTGCTCGATTTTAACGAAGCTTGTTTGTTTTGTTTCTATTCTCATTTGGGGTATACGATTTTTAAAAACGTGGCGGTATTTTGTGCCGTAAATTCTGTATTTAATTTCAATCAACCAAATGATTCAAATTTAACATTATGGCCCATCAGTTTTCGAGTGGATAAAACTGCTAATCACTGGTCGTGGGTTCGCTCCTCGCCTACTGGCTGGCCCCGTGAGTTTTCCGGTTTTTCTTCACGTTTGTAAGTAAGGGCCGGTGTCTTTTACAAAGTCCTCGAGACTTTGTAAAGGACACCGGCTTCTCGAGTTACTCGACGCAAAATTTACGAAATTCAATCTTAAAAAACTGAAAATTTTTTCATAGTTATAAAAGTTGTAATTACAAGTAATTCAGAAATAAAATAATATAGAAAGTTTTACAGCTTTAAATAGGAACTTCTTAAAATCACTTCACAATATATTAACACGAATTTGATCTATCCATTCATTTAATTGTTATTAAATGAAATTTTTATGTCGGAATATGAGAAATAGTAAACAAAATTCTAACAATTATCTTCTAGGTACTTTAAATTTGAATTAAAAATTACACAAAATGCAGAATACAGAATTTCTTTTTTATTATACTGTATGTTCATCTATAAATACAGTTAAATTAAATACGAGTTTCGAAATTTATGACTTTACAATCTATTTGAAGCGTTATCAAAATCGATACATTGGCTGATGTAACATTACGAGACAGAACTATCCATCATTCATGTTCAAACAACGAAGATCAGAAATAATTGCTGTATTATATTTGAATATGCATTTACGAATTATCCTTCCGTCACATCCGGGAATTTAACGTCACAAATCCGAAGCAAACTGTCAGGTTCGATTTATTTGTCAAGTCCGGGTTTACAGTCAAGTCTGGGTTAAAATGTCCAGTCCGAGAATTCGACACAAATCGATAAAATGATCCTCCTTTTCACCTAACGACCGAAGTATGCCCTAAGGAGGTATTGCGCCAGAGGATATCTTCTCTCTCTCAAAATGTACGCCAATTTCCTTCTCGAATTACTCTGCAATGTCTGCAAAATTAAATCCAAGATTAAATATTTCGTCAAGAAAATAATCGACTTAAGAGAACGAGCAATCTGCCAAAATGTGCACTTACCCAGATATTGGCTATCGTATCCCTGGTTGCAATATTGTTGAAAGTTGTTTGAATAAACATCGGCTTTGGATTTCTCGCCTCTGCCGAAACAACAGAAAGAGAAGTTCCAGCCTATCTTGGACTTCTCTTTATTTGCAGGCGGACCTCTGGACATTGCACGCTGGGAATTGGCTTTCATTTCCAGCTCCTTTTCGTACTTCATAAAAGCCTTTCTGAGTCTTGCTAGCTTGGCTTCGTCCCAATGAATCTTGGGATTCTCCCGCTCTGTACGTTCGGGAGGATGCTCTGAGGACTCCGAAGAAGACCCACTGACGCTTGGATCCTTCTGACACTCCGAGGACTCTGACGGAAGTCCTCCATCTTCTGGAACCTTCGAATATTCCGAAGATTCTGGCGGAAGTCCACTGACTTCTGCGTCCGGAAGAGAATCATTCGCCTCTTCCCCTCTCTCCTCAACCTTCTCTTCACTTGGATGTCTTCGTCCGAAGATCCTTCCAATCCACCTCCAAAAACTCTTCTTTTCACTCATTCTCAAAAATCGCAAGAAAACTCTCTAACAGAACGAAAGCGCTTCGAAATAATAATCGGAAAACAAAGATATTGTTGGTGCGCGCCAACAATTAATTAATATATGTTGTCCTGAAAACTTAACTAATTTTAGAAATTTCGTTTTCTACCCGTCATAAGGACTTAAACCAGTGATTTAAAATATTTTAACACTAACAAGCCGTCAAATTTTCTCAAATAATTTCAAAAACAAAACAGTATTTAGAAATAAATCAGAAACGAAAACAAATTTATTATGCACTTTCGCATTTTTACGAATATCAACTTTTAATATATTTGTACGATAAGGATACAATAGATCCTGGATATAGCCTCCTCCTATATAGCACCAATGAATACTGTCAGCGGATCTTTCCCATTAAAACTTATCTATTATGAAATCAAATCTTTCAATAGCTATGTATTCGCAAATGTACGAGTTTCCATGATGATACACTTATCATCAAATCTCGTGACTTAAATCCCTAAATATAAGTGTGTAGACATCGTTATTAAATACTAGTGACGTGTGCTTGAAATTTAACAAATAGAAAAGAAACATTATTCGGATTCATGTGCGAAGACAAGTCTTTGACACAGTGAATTAGATAGGAAAATTGTAGGAGAACGTTAGTGAGAGTCCTCCTATTACTACTACTAACAGGAGAATAGTTCCAAAATTCTGTAAATTCAGTACATTGTAATATTACACCACAATTCTACAAATATTTATGAGTTATCTGTCTTAACTGTGTGTTTTCGTGTGTTCTTAGGATATTACAGAACAGTTTTTACCATTCTCCAACCATTTAGTATTGTGTTTAAATTTAAAAATACTATAAATAAAAGTATTTGTACTCTGGTTTTCTTAGGCTACATGGTATTAGGTTTTAAGGTCACACATCTGGCCAGAAAGTGTCGCTGGAACGGAGATGAGGATGAAAATTTACAAAATAATGTGTGGTTATTTTCCAGATCAGTGGGTTCCAACATGCATGCCGAAAGACACTTCTATGTCGCGATACTGCCTCAGGTGTGTCGCAGAAATATGAAATATATTTTAGAATTTTGAATAAGCTCTTTTAAAATTTTATTTATCTTTTATCTTTTTTACCGAAAGGAGGTTCACTAAAATGCCAATTGTTGCAAACTTTGAGGCATCAGAATATATCAGAATATTCTCTCTGACAAAAGTTGGGTGCGTCTATGGTATACCGGCGTACCAACCTTTCGGAGCTTGTATAAGCATTGTGGCTTACTCGTTAAAAGATGGATATTAAAACGTAGTCGCTTCCAAAAATTCTTGGGTGATCATCATTCATCCTTCATCCTGCATTCATTAAACAGCGCAAATTTCCGGTAGATATAAAGAAACTCCCGAACGGAGAAGGATGAAGCAAGACGTCGTAAGGTCATCAAATCCAATTTTAAAAAATTTATTACTTTTTAATTGATTGTTTCTATGTTTTAAGGAACTTTTTCCAGAACGGCCACGTAGCCTAAAAAGGAAAGTCGGGTCGTCTGAACTTACTAAGGAACATTTAATAGATATATGATAATCACCCAAGAATTTTTGGAAGCGACTACGTCTTAATTTTTAAAGAAAAAAAATTTTATCATCCAGCGAAAATTTAAAAGATGGATATTAGTTATTTATGCATTTATTCAAATAGTTTTTATTTTTATAGTATATTAAAAAGGGCAGGGCGCTAATCGGTACTCCGAGTTTGAATCGCCATTGTCTATGAAGATGTCACCATCTATGAAGTTTTGTATGGGCAAAGTCTAATGTTATCATTTTTCTTCGGCCAAGGTTTATAGTCTAAAGTCCAACCTAAATGTTCAGAAACTACAAGGGCTTCGTCCGATCTAAACAAAAAGTACCAGAGCAGCCCCTGGTAAGGCCTGGAGTTGATATTTGTAAAATTGTGTTTTTAATTTGGTTAAACTTCCGTATTATCAAAATATTATTAAATTAACCTTAATTTCTTTTAAATTTTAAACATTTTTATTTTAAAAATTATGGTCTGTCGCAGGAATCTCATTAAATTCAAAGTGTATCGCTAAGCCAAAAATATTGCGAATCACTGTCCTAGATTATTTTAAAAATTTAATAAACAGTCTTTAAATGTTTATTTTGGCTGAACTACTACAGATATTCTAATCTTCTGGGCACAATTAATAGAGTAAAAGAGAAAGCAGTTTGCTGGCCAGTGTTCTTTCCGGTCATTTTTATAGATGTCCGGGCGTCGTCTATCTGGCATGCCCTTTTGGACATTATGGGGCATTGATTACTAAAGTGACTTTAATACAACTATATAAGCAATTCAATGACATAGTTTGTTAAAAAATATCCAGCAACGAGTTGCGTAACTTTACCGGCTGTTAAGAGATTTTATTTATAAAAGGAAATTTTATATTATTAATCAATCATAATACAAAAAATCCTTGTTAATTCGACCTCGAATTGTTCAAATTCACCTTAGTTTGTGATTGTAATTTTTTTCCAGATGGGGATAGAGATTCCAGATAGAGATTTATATGTTAACGAATTCGGTTAGTTCGAAATAAGGCTATTTCTAAATTGGAAGTGAAATTTCTGTCTGAAGTCTGGTATGCGTATTTTAACTGGCTCGTTTAGATCGAAGTGCCTCCATGTTGTAAGAGAACAATAGACGAAGAATCTTGTCAAAATGGTTTTGCTTTTACAGTAACGCATTTTCGGGCGTCATCTTATCCATGGAATATACTTTTTCTCTTATCGCTTAAAATATGGCTGAATTTCGGGATTGCAAGATTGGGATACAAATAGCAGATTGAGATATTGGTAAAGCTCTGGGCTACTACATTTGAACGAATTACTACATTTTGGACCACTTTAAAAATAATTGGAGTCACGTTTAGACTAATTTTACGTAACTTTTTATAAAACTTCCTACCAACTTGTGAGGTTCTCAACTAATATGTGCTGTTTACTCGCAGTTTTTATATTTATATTATTAAATATTAATTAACGAAAACAGCGTTCTGTATACGTCGTGTGTTATTAAGTATATTATAGAGAATATGAGGTATGCGTAAAGTTATATGCTGTTGCCGTATAACTGTACACATAACATCAGCTTTGTTTTATTTCAACTGTATGCCTTGTTTTCATCGATACGACTACTACGAATATTTTATGAAACGACCGTCTTAATTCGAAGTATTTTTATCCAAACCTCTGCTTGCTTATATCTATATCTTCAGTTATAAGATAGATAAATGATGTTCGAAAAACAAAATTGTGATTTTTGTTTTTAATTCTCTTTGCTTTATGGGCACTAAGAGGACTTTATCCAGACCGACTTCGGCCAAGCCCACAATGAGGGTGGCCAAGTGGTGAAGGATAAGGCTGGACGTATTCAGAAAAGACCACCCCTGAAAAGTTCCTGATCCGGACTCAAATCTAAATCCCCAAAGCATAAAGCTAACGCATTTACTGCTTTCGTCATCTCGCTGTTATTCCAGTTTAGTCTATGGAATAATTTCTGGTTCTTGTGACAAATGAATAACAAATTAGTGATACTTTAGAATTATTGTAATTTAATTCAAATGTATGAAAACATTAATTATTTGTATAGTACAGTCTTCCTATTAAATATTTCATAATATTTTTAAAATTAAAGTTGGTTTCATGCGTTCATAAATTGGCCGTTTCGCCATAACATTTGGAACAACGTACATGTTTTGACAGTAGTTGATGTAGACATTTTACATCTGTGAAAACAGATGTTTAAATAACAACAACTTAATATGCATTTTGCATTAGTGCGTTTTAAAATTACTTTTAGGAAAATATTTGAAAATTGCAATAAATTTTATGGAATTTGTTTTCGAAAAATTGTTGACAAAAGTTGTTCAAAATTTATTTCGAGTTTTCGATAATAATTTTATTAACACTGAATATATTTGAATCTGCAATGCTAAACTTTTTGACATTCTTGCAAAAAATTTCAAAATATACACTGAGGAGTCAAAACATTAAAACCACTTGTGTGATATGTAAGTGCAGTGGAACCCCGTTTATCCGGCTCAAACAGGACCAGCCCAATCTGAAAAATTCGTTAACGACATAAATAATACAGTTTAGATGTACTGTATATTATATTTTATTTATTGCACATTATATATATGCTTATTTTTTCAGCAATATTAACAGTATAAAGCAAAAGACATATCTACATACAGTATCAGTTCGTTGTTTTCTATCAGCTGGTACAGTACACGTAGGCCTACATAAGTTACCTGAAAATTTGGATGGGGTAGAATTTCTCTTTAGAATGTTTTTCAACGTCAACAAATAATTAGCGCTCCATAGGGACACAACAGGTCGAATTCAATAACTGAAGTTGTTGAAATATTTGTACTGTATTTAATTTTGTTACCAGAACCTCGGTTATAAAGTCGCAAGTGTTCAAAATTGGAATTGAGCCAATGGAAAACAGTATTCTTACAACAGAAACATTATACTCAGACAAGTATGTACTACTTAAAACTAATTCTTTGATTATTATCCCATACATAGGTTTTCCGTATGTCTATCTTTCTTATTCCGGATAAACTGGGTTCCACTTTATGTGCACCCGCAGCAAACGCGAATGAGTAAAACTTAGATAGGCGCACTTGCAGTCAGTACTTTGTTTCACCGCAACATAGGGAAAATAAAAGATTTATCAGAGTTCGACAAAGGGCAGATGATGACTAGATAAAAGCATCTCAGACGGTGACTCTAGGCTGTTCGCATTATGTATCCTCACACACAATGTATCGTATGCTATTGGATATGGGTCGCCACAGCCACCAGCTTATTCGTATGCTCGTGTTCACCGTTGTTCATCGTCGTAAACGCCTGCAGGGGGTATATAATCATCGACATTGGTTTGGTTTATTTCGATAATGACAGTTAATTTATTGTTGTTAGTTTATTTACTTTCAATCAAAATTTAAGAAAAAGTAATTTGTTTCGGTTTGGTACTGCAACACAATACATGGATGATCTGCCAAGGAGATTGCCATTGGGAAGGACATTTTATAGGTAAATGGCACGTATTTAGAAATTAGATATGTGAAGAAAACTTGGACGATCACATGGCCAGCCCATTAGTCAGGTGAGAACTTGCGAGGGTTATTCAAGTATTACGTCAGTAGTTTACGGAAAGGGAGGATAAGTCTTTGATATCGTAATAATGCACCCGTCGTCTATTTTTCTGCCCAGTCATCACAAAATTTGTAGGGATGAGTGCAATATTATTATAGCATTTCTTTTAAATTATATATTATTGGCGCTTTATTACTAGCTGCGTATGGCCGGCTCGGGTTTTTGAAGGGATGCAAGAGGACTGCTTGTATTTTGTACAGTTTTAAAGATTTAAATAATAGCTACATTTGCCTGTTGTTGCTCGAGCTTTAAGTAGGTAGTAGATTGGTGAAGTTGGATATTTTTCGTCTCTGCCGTGTGGACACTAGGAGGGCCTTTTTAGCAAGTCCATTATGAGTTCGACCAGACCCACAATGGGGCGACTGTGTGATGGGAGCCTGACATATCCGGACAGATAACTCCCTGAAAAATTTCTAGGTATTTTTCGACTTGTCCGGATTCGATTCCGAGTCCCTCAGTGTGATAGGCTGCTACCTTGACCACTCGGCTGTCAATATTTTAGATTAGTATGCTTTAATATAACTACGACATATTTCAAAAATTACAGCCTATTTACCTATTTGCAGCTTTACTCATTATGATGCATCAAGCTAAATTAGCACCTGTTGGGTAGTGGAGTTGGAAAGCTTTCGCAATCGAATTAATTCATATAAACAGGTAGATTGAGAGGAAATCGACATTCGAGCGATAAGAAACATAGAAGTGAAAATGAAATTTTACATTGTCATCGTCATTTTTGGTAAGTTTTAATATTAGGTGAATGTATTTTCTATAATACCAGTTTAGAAATTCATATTATTTAACTATTAAAATTATTTTAAAAATATTCATTTTAGGATTGTTTTTTGTCACCAGTAGTAGTAGTATAGCTAATCGGGATTTTCCTCTATGGAATTCTCGCCCACAGTTTGATGTAAGTGAAATAATCTATGTTCGAGATTTTATTTAGATTTTAATTATTCAATTTATTTGTTTTATCTATTTTAGCTGTTGTTTCCTTAAACTTTATCCATATAAATCCTGAGTGATATTTATGAAACCAACTTTTTAAATAAATGGCTATTATTTATTTTTTGTAGGATCTTTTAAAATCTTTAAAATTTCCTAAAATGGCAGTTTAAAAATTTCCTAAAATGACCTAAAATGGCAGTGATTAAATACTCATAATTAAATACTATTAAATATAATTATATATATTTCTTTCACCCATATCTCTTGAAGCCTGTGGACACGAAGAAGGAATTTTTTGTTTTAATACCCATTGAATAAGGTCCACAATGGCCTAATCCGGGCCAGATGGCTCATGAAAAATATTTGAGATTTTTATCGCCCGAATTTAATACCAGAGAAGTGGGTTGATGCCTTAACCGCCTTGGCCATCCGAATGAGCTAAGGCTTAATATTTTTGAAATTTTGGCCGACTTTGTAGAGTTTTCCAGGTTTTCTTCACGTTAGTAATACTTGAACTGTGGCAGTTTCCCATTAAAAAAATCTCTCGGGAAGCATTCCCCTCGGTAGATCACCCATGTGTTGAGTTACAGTAACCAAATAAACCAAACTAGATGTCGAATTATCGGCCAAATATTAAATTTTCAAACTTAATACATAATTAATAGAACTTTGTATGATATTTAACATTACAATTTTTATAATGTTGAAATTATTATTTAATATTGAAAAAAGCTCTATATATATACATATTTATTTATTTTCAATTTAGTTGGAACTTGATTTTTCGAGCTGTTTCAAAAACATAACAGATATCAACGATATAGATGATATTATCGAGTTCGTTATCAATCTATGTCTGAATAATAAGACGACTCTTCACTCTGTTATCTATTGCATGGAACATGTACTATCATATGGATTAGAAAAGTTTTTAGGAAATATTGACCTAAAAAATATAGAAAAATTTGTTAATTGCGTCACGACAAGCTATTTTGCCATTGATGCTCAAATATTTGATTGCAATAAGTTAAATAATATTATTTCTCTTTATGAAATCTTTAATGGATTTAATCTTAATGGACTTGGACTTAATCTTGATTCGATTCCTCAATTTTTGGGCCAACTTTCTGGTGATTTTTCTGATTTATTTGCCTGTATACCTTATCTATTTTTGAAATAACTGTATTTTAAAAGATTATTTTAACTGAAACCAGACCTTTCGTTAAAGAAATTTTAAAAATTATTAAAAAGAAATGACAGTTTTGACAATATCAAAATAAAACATTGTTATTATTTAAGAGTTTCGTACGTAATTTTATTTTTACCTATACCACACTACAAATTAAAGTATATAAATTTAAAACTGTACTTATTAGAAAAGTCGGACTTGTATAACTATTATATTGATACTATTGAAATTATAAATTAAATGTTTTATTTAATGAATAGTTATTTCCAAAAGAGATATACGATTGAAATTAAAATTAACATATTGAATAATCAAGAAAAATTAACACTTTACAACAATTTGAATTTATTAAATATTACTCAGTACTAAGAGTGCTCACAGAAAGAAACAAGTAGAAATCGTTGATATTCCTTGTGCTGTCTCTCCATTTAGCGCCGCCGTCACCTGACAATTCATAGAGCGATGTAATCGCTATGTGACTACATACTTTGGCGAAATGGAAGGCGATTTTCAACGAATTATGGAAATTTTTTTAAATGGCGACAAAATTTTTAACTTAAAAAGTAATTTTATATTTTTCGAATTAATTTTTTTTAAAATTTAATATTTGCTATTTTTTTGATTTTGCACATTTTTGAAATTTCCACTCCACGTATGTGGTGATGAGGATGATGGGTAAAAGTGTGATGTCTTGTACCCTTGGAATTATGCTGATTGGCTGCGAATTAATCGCCATTCAAAAATATACGTTTTCCCAGTACTGTGTCGCCGAAGTACTAGTAAGCGATTTTACTGAGCGTGAGCAGTAACGAAAGCAATTGAATTTCTTCGAAATCGCGCGATGTAGAGAGCCAGCGTTAGAGTACGTTTTTCGAGTCAGAGTCCAGCGACCGTGGCGTGAACTCGCTACCGAGAGGAGCGGACAAACCGATACGGGGAATATGGGTGTCCAGAGTTATTACCAGATGATAGCCTCTGTCCATTCTATCATTAACTGATGTTATAGACCATTTCATGTCTTGGTCAAAGATACGCGTATTCGGCTTTAAAAAGTTCAACAGCCTCTTTTAGTAATGCACAGTGACCTTGTCACAGATTCGTCAAACTGTTTCTTCACTAAAACTTATAATTTAATTATTATTAATAGCCATTTACTGTACAAGAATAGTTTTAATAACAAATTTCAAAATTATTTATAAATTAAATATTTTAATATTTCCTTCAGACAACAGATGGCGACAAATGAAATACAGTATTTTTTTCAAGCTAAATAATTGAATTTTTAAAGTTCTGATCAATCTTCATTAATATTAATGATGTTGACTGTAATTAAGTGAAAAATTAAAAAATGATAACTTTTAAAATAAAGCGATAAATAGAATGAACGATATTAATTTTCTAAAGTCAATAGACCGAATCTAGGAAACTAAAGCATTAAAATAATAATTTAATCAATGTTCGTAAATTTCATAAACCGAATTTATTTAGTGTCATTTCTGATTAATCAGTTAATCAAAAATCAAATCACATTAAAACATTTCCTAGAAATAGATGTACCCCAAATTTGGCTGATTTACTCACATCTGGTAGGTTAAGTGATGAAATGGAGTTAGAGATCGAGTTCAAAATATACATTTTTATTAGTATTTGGAAAATGCATTTCGGATTTTAGTCCCTCATTAGTCCAAACAGCAAGCGTAGATGATTATAAGCGGAATTTCTGGTATAGGCTATATACATAATATGATGATCTTTCTCTCAACCGAATCCTTAACCAAAGACTGTACATTTACCTTCATTTTGTCGATCTCTTCTTCCAGTTTCTTCCTTTTCTCCGGGGATGTAGGCATCCTTAATATAATTCTTCCTTGTAAATATTCTCGCTTCTTGTCTGGATTAAATAATGCTTCCCGATGTAGTCCAAACTTGGCTGATTTGTACAGTTAAATTTCAAATTAACTATCGAAGGTATAAAATCTTTCTATTTGATATCATACACCATGAAAAATTCTGTTTGCAATACTATTGTATATTTCTATAATAATTTTAGAATTTCATTTCATGATTGAGATACGGTTGGTTGTTATAGATCAGGAGTGGCCAAACCGTGTCGTATAGAAGATATATACCATAACCGCCTATCAGAAATATGTGAAAGCCGCCTCTTATATTGAAAAGGTATTTTATATATAACCTATATGCCAATACGTCCGCAGAGAGAGAGTGCAAATGGGGTACTTGTCCATCCATGGGATCGAATAAAAAATTCCACAAATTATAATTATAAAAGTGATTGGGATATATAACCTTACGTCCTATTGTATTATATAATGTATAGTACTTGTTAAAAAAAATAATTAAATGAAAATTTATTTATGTAATTATTTGTCTCCTAAAAAATTTCTGCGAATGCCCATGTATATAGAACATATGTGTAGAGAGATAAAAGCAATGGCGTAGCTAGCATGGGTGGCACCCGGTGCAGATATAGTGGTGTCACCCGAAGAATGAAAGCTGTTAAAATTAATAAAAATCCGATAAACGTAAAATATGATTTATTTAATTAATACAAATAAGAGTCATTAATTATCAAGTTACAATATTATAATAATAATAGTACAGTTTTATTAAACATTCTTTCACATTGATGTATGAAAGTGAAAGTTGGGTATGGAAAAAGAAGAATGAGAGTAGAATTAATATACTCTCATATACATATTATGTACGAACACTTCAAAGTTCTTCTTTCTAGCTTTAATACAGCTACAAACTCGGAAATCACATCTTCAAAATTTATATTTTGTGTTGACTCGTGTTTATTGTTAATATGCCAAGATTGTTAAGTCTCATTTGGGTCATTATTGTCCGCAAGTAATTTTTAATTAATTTTAGTTTGCTGAAACTCCTCTCACACGAAGCAACCGATATGCAAATTGTCAGAAATAACTTTAGTGCGACCATAAGATTCGGAAGAGATTCTGTAAAATTAAATTATTTAATATAGATAACTTGGTTAAAATGGCTTCAAGCCTAAGTGATTTATCGTTGAAAAACATTGTGATGGTTTGCTTAAGTTTTTACATTTTTCATGATCAGGTGTCACCCCTTTAGAGGTGACATCCGGTGCGGGCCGCCCCCCATAGCTACGCCACTGGAGAGGAGGGAATAGCATCACATCGGGTCTCCTACTTCTAAGTAATAAAGGTAATCAGATATACCAGAGCCGCAATAAGAGCCGCAGTTTGGCCACCGATAGATGAACTATTTTAACTTTAATATTTAGTATTTAAATTATATAAAGAATAAATCAAGCGTAAAGATTTGTGTTAATGTAAAAGATATAAAGTACTTATAAATATCGGTAATAATATTGATAAAAAGGGATTTCAATACATATATCTTGTATCATATCAATTTGTTTTTCATAAATGCAGAAATGTTGATTAACCTAATAGCCTATTATCTTTATGTGTGAAAATCAAACATATACAAGGTAGGCCATTTAACAAATACACAGTTTTAACAAATAACAAACTTTTAATATAGTTTATAAAATATAGACTAATGTTAACATTTTCAATTCAATTATAGGTATATAAAACAAACAGTTTTGAAGTAATACTTTAATCGTACACAAAAATATGAATGAAATTGTCTACAGATATGTCTGCAATACATAATATTATATATATACAGTAATTACATATTTATATAGTGTAGACGATACACAGTTGTATTCAATTCAATTCACTATTATATTATAAATATTAATAGGCTTTCTACATAACAACAAATAAATCTCCAGAAACATATTAGGAAAATGCAAGCAGGATGGATTATTTCATTTTAATTAAACAAAATTATTAAAATATGTGTCATATAATTTGATAGTAATAACTTCTTGAAATAATCATTATTTGTCTCTCCGAATTAAAGTATTTCACAAGGTATCGTCATTTCAATAGCAAATCAACAAGATAAAGAAACAAATTCGTGAAAGAAATTTTTAAACTACTTTTTTGGCAATTGTCTCAGTCAAAATATAAAACAAAAGTTATTTCTAGAAACAATCGCATATTTTATTGACGAAACGTAATTTTTATCAATAAATCACGTTAAATAATTATTTCCAATATCATTTTATCTTTTAGCTGAATTTCGTTTCACGTATTTCATGTTTGGCATTCGAACGGAAGTTTATATGTCGTTATGAATTATGCCCATCTATAAACAAGAAATTGATTTTTTATTTNACAAATATATATATATATATATCACGAAAAATGTGTCATAAATAACAAACATATTTATAAAATAAAACAAAACCGAAACCCCATTTAAATGTATTAGAAATATTTTCATCGCGCTGATAAATATTTCTAATAATTTAATAAATGATTGATTTAATAATAAAGAAATAAAATGAAAAATAATAATAAATAATATTAATGAATGACTGTTACTCCAGCATGAGGAACTAAAAGTCATTATCCAATAATTAATCCGTCATCATGACTAAAGAATTATATCCTTCGACTTGTTTACAAGAAAATAATAAAATTTATTATAAACGGAAACAAAACTTCATTAAATATATACATTATAATTATAAAACCTCGAACTTTTTTTAACTTCTTCTAATCATTCTAAATCTCTATTCACATTTGGAGATTCAATTAGTACAAAATTAAAAGTTTCAAAGAGGAAAAATTTCAAATTATGTTTCTAAATAAATTTATATTACTGTATATTCATCTTAATCGAGAAAAATTATATTTAGAATCTTGATAATAAGTTTTATCATTATCAATATTCTTATACAACTATTTTTTAAGTAACTGAAAAATAACACAAATGATTAAATACATTTTACCATTATTTTTAAAGATTGATACATATAAGATTACATTAAGATTTATAAATTTCTAGATTTTTATAAAGTTTTTATAATTTTCTTTAATAATTAAACAAGTAAAGATTTTTGCAACAGTTGTTTTTATTTTCTTTTATACAATGGTTTTTAATAAATAAAATATTGTTCAGAAAAATCCACAAATAACAATAGAAAATATTTCAAAGTATTTTAAA